CTAATATTCATCTTAAGTCATTCAACCCGTGAAGATCCGGGTTAGAACTGATCTTCAGTATCCCACGCTACTTGCCGTAAGAGGCGACTAACAGGATCGGGTGGTCAGGCTCGTTGACACATGTCATCGTATCCCAATTGCGTAGATCGATGCTTATGCTGTTGATCACTGGATTGTCTGGTCTAGACTCAAGTATTTACAGACTGACGCCATATAGCTAGAGTATTGCTGAATGTGGCGTTATATAACTAACCAACCAACCAACCAACCTAAGTCATTCAGCATATTTATACATGTACACAGAGGAGTGTGAAGACAGGTTATGACAAGTTGATTCTTGAATACCTGGCAAATTATCCAGTAAACAATAAACTTCTAAGCACACTAAAAACTATTTACAGCAATATATGTCCTGATTTGAGCAGTAACAAGATTAACAGACCACGGATAACTGGGTTCTAATCAAGCCTAAACCAAGAGCTATAACTGACACTAATATGCTTAAGATAATCACAGCAGCAGGAGATTAACTGGTTCTAGGCTAACTGCTCTTATCCATTAAACGTCAAACTCCACCTGCATACCTGCCCTAGGCAGCCCAGATCAGACAAGCGTACGTCTTCAGGGTTTATACTAGTGCGAGGTATCGTGATGATTAAACCTACAAATTGATTTACTGCTGTACCTGGTCACAGATCATTAACCTGGAATACACATGAACTATCACATACCACTAATATTCAACCAATAATATACATTCATCACCATCAAACACTTTATTTAAGGTTCTACGGTATCCATTTGTTGATGGAATCAGTCAAATTACAAGTACCACACTAAGAAATGCTTCTGTTTCATGTGGTAGATTTCTCCAAGTGTAAATGCATGACGTATTTATGGACCTCCCTGGTAGTTCCTCCCTGTAAAGTAATGAGTAAGTGGGGGCTTGGTGAATGATTTGTACTTCAAACCTTCACAGTAAAGTCACGTCAAAGCTTGGTTGGATCACTTGTCCAAAAAAATAACACTTTGTGTTCCCATGTTCTTCAGATGACCCATTCAAATATTGCAAAAATATTTTGGTTGGGAAAAAATGACATTTTTTTATCATCAGAACACCTCTTCAGCAGATATTTTTGGGAAAAGTATTCTCATAACTTAAGTTCATGCAAGTTACATCTTCAAAATATCCCAGACATATTCTTGCTTCACACCAGTTGTCATAATGTTTTATCTCCATATCTTACTGTTTACTATAAGATTAGAAAATAAATCTAACAAGTTATAAAAACAAATCTGGCTTACAATGTTATCTACCTTAAAGGTTACAAATTTCACTCAAACGATGTAGAAACCATAGTAACTGTATCATCAACACCTCATGACATTAACCTTTAGAGCATTTCATTGGTTGGATGAAGGGAGATTCTGTAATGTCAACTGTAATGTTTCAATGCTATATTCAGTTTCAATTTATTAAACGTGTGGCATATAAGTGGATATCAGGGCCAGTACTGGAGGGTCAACAGCCGTAACAGGTTGAGTCAGGTATTGACATACATCAGCTGAGGAATCTGTCACCCTATCATGTCAATGTGTGGCTGGCACTTCCAGCATCACCGGCTGATGACACCACACCAGTGAGAGGAAATCAATTCATATGATGGTAAGTAAAGGCATTGTGAAGGAAACATCCAGGAGCCATGGTAACATGTAACTGTAAGTGAGTGAGTTGAGTTTTACGCCACACTCAGCAATATTCCAGCTATATGGTGCGGGCTGTAAATATTCGAGTCTCGACTAGACAATCCAGTGATCAACAGCATGAGCATCGATCTGCGCAATTGGGAACCGATGGCATGTGTCCACCAAGTCAGCGAGCCTGACCACTCAATCCTGTTAGTTGCCTCTTACGACAAGCATAGTCGCCTTGTGTGGCAAGCATGGTTGCTGAAGACCTATTCTACCCCGGATCTTCATGTAGGAAGCAGGTGTTTTCTGAACTTCAACAGTGGAACAGTTATCATTACTAATAAGGAATACACTTATCTGATTGGTAATTGGTTCAGTCAGTGAGTGAGTGAGTGAGTGAGTGAGTGAGTGAGTGAGTGAGTGAGTGAGTGAGTGAGTGAGTGAGTGAGTGAGTGAGTGAGTGAGTGAGTGAGTGAGTGAGTGAGTGAGTGAGTGAGTGAGTGAGTGAGTGAGTGGGTGAGTGAGTGAGAGTGATGCTTTATGACACATCAGCAAAAGAGCAGCTACTCATGGTGAATCCCCATTGTCTCCTAAAACTTAAAAAATTCCATAAAAAATATTGTATATGGATCAAACAGCCACAGTCTGCCCATAACTAAAGGCTTTTCCCACAAAACTTGACAGGAAGATCTGCTCATCCTATTTACATGTTGCTGTTTCAGAAGCCTCACCCTATCCTTGCTGTGAAAATAACCATGCATGTTTCCAACCGATCTCATAGGAACCTACTTCCAGGAATATGACCAGACTCCTGGAGTCAACTCCATTAAATGCCCAACCATACATGAATTCAGGCTATTTTATTATCTCCTCATGAAAATCTGTTTAAAAATCACACTGGTCGATATGACTCTTACCTTGCAACAGATCTTTAACACTTCTTGTCAAATATTCAGAGAGGAAAAGAAAACTAACCAGTAAAATCCCCATTAGTATTTGACAGTTAAAGCAAGTCATTCTTCCAAGCACAATATATGTCTTCTATCACTAGACATGTAAATTCCAACATTTCTGAATACTCATGGTAATTCATGTAAATGGAATACTTCTTATTATTGATCGAAAAGGAGTAAAAAGACCTTGGAGTCAATGGATTTTTTTCACAGGGGGGACATAAACGAGTATATTATTATCCCATATAAGAATCTCATATTCAAAAAAAGAATTTTGCATGGTTATGTGAACTTTTTACAGAAGACATGAAAGATGCAATGGCAATGTTTTCATAATCAAATGTTATATTTTATGTATAATGTTTGGATCAATTCATTTTCCATTTGAGTCATGGTGAAATGTGTTCACAACTGTTTGTTATCACCGTTTACTATTCTCTCAGGCAATGGGTATGATAAAAACACCTTGTAATCTGACCAGCTTTCTATCAAGTATCAAAACAAACTAGCATTGGACGGTGTTGGTCAAGTTGGATGTTATTTAAGGCTTCTGCACATGTAATTAGTGAGTAAGTGAGTTTGGTTTTATTGGGACCCGATGACATGTGTCACCTTTCAGCAATGAACCCATGTTGAGAACTGAACCTTCTGACTGTAATTAGTGACAAGTTTGGTTTTATGGCTTTTAGCTTTGAACCATGTAGGCTAACCCACTTCGCCCCCTTTAACCACACACACTACCCCCACTTTAAAGGGAGTTGAGATTTGAAATTCAAATGCACTCTGATCACTATTATCAGGGGTTGTAATAAAGTACCAGTAGCTCTGCTTAATCAGTCGTCAGTCGCTCATCATCATCATCATCATCATCATCATCATTTATTTTATTTGTTGGACTTGATGTTCACATAAATGGTTTAAATACAAATCATCATCATCATCATCATCATCATCATTTATTTTATTTGTTGGACTTGATGTTCACATAAATGGTTTAAATACAAATCATCATCATCATCATCATCATCATCATCATCTATTAGATGCCAGATTAGTTGTTCTCATTATAATTAACAAACTGTAAACACTGGTGAAGGGACAGTTTTTGTGTATTCATCACACTGCATCCAGAAGATGGTCCATCCCTAATACATTCATTCCATCATAAAAATAGTTTCAACATGACAAGCACACAGGGATTTTCATTGGGATATCGGGCACTACAGACAAGAGGATGTATCCAACAAAGTGCTACTGTTTGTGTCAGTTGTATGTTTTCTTTGTTGCCCAACAATGTACCCAGCAATATTCTACTTATATGACAGGGCTCATATTAGTACAGCCTGAAAAATTAGGAGATAAACATACTGTGTTGGAAAATCAGAGGTATATAACAAAATTATAATAGCGTGAGGTTTAAAACAATATTTTAGAGCTATTATAAGTTATACCTTACTGTATATTCATGGTTATATACTCTGATTTTCCAACACTTCATTTACTGTATGTTTATCTCCATTCTAACATAACAGCGCTATTAAGATTTAAAAAAGATATATACTGTGCTGGAAAATCAGAGGTATATAACATGGTTATATACCTCTGAATGACTTTCATTAACCAATCACAATCCATTTACTGAAGTCATGGTAGAATTGAGAATGGTACTTGGAGTGTTGTCCTATGCCACTGAGACAATGCACGGAGACAATGCACGGTCAGTTAAGACACAAGGACGCTGTCGTTTGGTCACCTCTTTCCAAGGATATGTTACGAGGGACACATTCTAACTTAAATTTCCCATTGTGGAGGAGTCAGTAGTGTGTGTAGAAACAAAAATTGGTGAGGTGAAATTGGGTTAGATCACTCCTATTGTGATGTTCATGCAATTGTGTGAAGCACCTTGTACTAATCCAGATTTATGGTATTTTCATTGAGTTACCCAAATGAGATACCATGCTGCTGTTTAACATGGATACCCAATCAAGCACAGACAAATCCAAGCTGACCAGTCCTTGTTTATCTCATATGCCTAGGGAGTAAGTGAGTGAGTTTAGTTTTATGCCACTTTTTAGCAATATTCCGGCAATATCATGGCAGGGGACAAAGGAATGGGCTTCACACATTGTACCCATGTGAGGAATCGAACCCAGGTCTTCTGTGTGGTGAGCGAACGCTTTAACCACTAGGCTACCCAACAGCTCCCCAAGTACCATGCAGGTTAACAGCCAGTACAGACGTCCTTAGGTTTGATACAGCCAGGAGATCAAACCACCAGTCCTCCATACTTAGGGGTATACTCTATCCACTGCACAAAGTAAACAAGTGTAATTATAAATGGAAATAAAGTCTCACCTTTCCATTTTCATAAAACAGCAATGCATGATGTCTGGAAAGTACTTTACAATCAAATATTCCATTATTGGCAGCAGGTCGAGCCCGGGCCACTGACCGGCCTATCTTGATGGCTTCATGCAAAGATATGTGCCTTTCCTGGAATGGGTGCGAATTTGGTCGACAAGAAAGTATGGCCAAGGCCGACATGGTTGGTCGCAACTTGTCCTCCCCTTCCACCTGAAGAACAACAGTACTTAAATATACATCAACAAGAACAGTCCGGAAGCACTGAAGAAGCCAGCATTAAACACTTCATTACACAAAATATAACAACATTTTGGGGAACACAACATAAAGAGATCTTGGGAGTAATTGGTGAGTGAGTGTGTATGGTTTAATGCCACTTTATGCAATATTCCAGTAAAATCATGACGGATGATACCAGAAATGGGTTTCATAAATTGTACCCATGGGGGAAATCGAACCCAGGTCTTCAGCATGATGAGCTGACATCTTAACCATTAGGCTACCCCACAGTCCCTGGAAGTAATTGGTCATTCTTGGTTTTCAAATGTGGGATGCCACCATGAGCATTTGGATTCAGGAAGCATTGACCTTTCAGTAAATATTGTTAAGATATCAGAAACCCGGTCTTGATTTCGTAAAATCACTCATTTAGTTAACTGGAAGAGAAATGAAGTTGCAAATTCAAACTATGTGGTCAGCCTTGATTAAGGATTTCATCATCAGATAGTCATTTACTCATAATCATAACTGTAACTTATACCAAATGCTGGTGGAAATATTAGTAGAAATGAAAAAAATGGGTCTGTAAACAAGGAAAAAAGGCATGTCCCTATCTATGTACATCAAACATCAGCTGATATAGTTTTAGAATACACCCATAAAATGCATATGAAGATATATCCTGTTGCTGATCCTAAACAATACATGTGTCATCTTTGTAAAATTAAACTTATTATTATAAACTGCAAATATATGCATCACATATGATATACGATCCAGTCTGCATGTATAATTCATTTATCACATTTGATGACAAGATGACATCATCAGTTTGCTGTACTGCCATATAATATTTTGGTGACAAAAATTGTGATCAGGAGGTCCACGTGAGACAGACAAATGTGTTCAGTAGGCAGGCCAAGAGCCCACAAAACTCATTACAGAAAGGACAGATCAAGCTGCAAGCTTATATGTATCTATGAACTATAATGTGATTCTCAGAGAAACACATACAGATTCCCATCTCAGGAACTGTGCCTATGTCATATTGTTGAAGATTTGAAAATTCAAATGAAATGAAAAACAACATAGCAAAATAATAACAATAAATCTTCTCTGGAGTGGATGAATCTGCTGCCTTAGGCTATGCAGCACTAATTATTACAAAATAACGATGGGGAAGGTGTTGTTTCCAACTCAAAGATCAGGTGTGAATATACATTAACCCTCAGTGAGTTCTTTGTCTGCTAGTTTAAGACAATTTACAAGTAATATAAGTTTTGTTTTTATTAAGTCTCATGAATAGTGTCGTTGCCAATACCAAAATGGCAATTTTCACTGATCTAACAACAGGAAAACACTTTCAACCAGTTGATTGTGCAACAGTTTTAGTGAATGAATTTTACACTGGTTATAACTTGCATGACTCCTGACATCTGTGAACTAACTGATTCAGTGATATACATCACAGGTTGACTTTGCAGAGAATACTAGTACACATGGTACATATATGTTTTAAGAGTAAAAGTAAGCAAGATGGTTCAATGTAATGTATCTTAGTGCCTGAGGTCAAAAGCATGTAATACATTCAAAAACCAATGATTCAAATAAGACATGTCACTATTGGAGATCAGAGTTCATGAAGTAAACAAACATCTTAAATAAAATTGGGAGGGTTCCATGAAAATACACACAATATAATAAGGTATATGTTCAATATACAAAATCTGTACTTCTGCATTCGACCATGTCAAAATTTCTTACATTTCATAGCGCAGCACTCACGATCTAAGAACGTTCCTTCGTCATTCTGTTCATTTGTAACAATGTATGTACAAACATTAGTAAATTTCAATCATTTCAGTAATGTTCCACATTTGGCGACATATTGATCTAAGAACTGTCAAATATTACGGTTTACCTTTCAGGAGGCAAGTTCATTTCAAGATTAATCGGTCAAAACAAAGACCTGTGTATCAAGCAATTCCACAATCTGTGCAGAGTGTACGTTACGAAAGTAACTCCAGTATACCTGAGTACTGTGTCAACCAGTTACACAAGAAGACGAACAAAATAAACAGAGAAAGCGTGCATACCATTCTTCCCTACATCTTGCACTTCTTTTAGGAGACGGCCATGTTGAAAATTGCTAAACATAATCTCTGACCCGGAATTTTATAACTTTCTCATTCTTCGCACGGCAACACTTTCAGTTGAAACAAATTCGATAGGAAAGTAAGTAAACACACTGAATAGGACCAATTCAGTCTCTTTCTTAAGTAATAAATGATTTGTTTTGATAATTTTGCCAGCTAAAGGTGAAGGCCACTAGTATTTTTCATTATAGAATTTCCCTCGCGACTATTCACACATACATAAAGACGCTTCGCGGGCATCAGTTGAACTACACGCAGAATGATCATTTGATGCCCATTCTGCATTGTCAGTTTACTTCATTAATATTTCTCAGCATTGAAATTGCTTTTTAAATGATTTTGGGGGATTTTGTAATAATTATTTCAGTTAATTATTATCAGTTTTAGATGTGAAAGTAAATTAGATAAACAAGAATTATATAGCCTGATGTATTCCGTAGCCACACCATGCTTTACCTTCATCAATCTCGATTGTGTTCGCACTGTCCCTGATTATTTGATTCAAACACAATCAATCCACCGTCAAGTGGCAGCTACAGCAGATATAATACTAAATGTAGAAGTACACAAACTTCAAATAACCCTACTGAATCGACTACTACTACTACTACTACTACTACTACCACCACCACCACCACCACCACCACCACCACCACCACTACTACCACTACTACTACTACTACTACTACTACTACTACTACTACTACTACTACTACTACTACTACTACTACTACTACTACTACTACTACTACTACTACTACTACTACTTCTACTACTACTACTACTACTACTACTACTACTACGACGACGACGACGAAAAAAACTAATCTTTAAGCTTTTAAATAGGACTGCCTTGGAAGAAAGGGCTCAGTATTTTGTCCAACAAATAATGTTTTAATGAATGTAAGGAAAATCAATGTTGTTTGTTTTCTTTAAAAATGAAATCCCAGGACTACACTCGCCAATAGTCTGGCATACAGACCCTGAAACAAACATATCCAAGAAAGACCACGCAAGCCAAGATTTCCATAGTTTCTGAAAATGAAGAAAGTATCAGGGCTCCTTTTCATTATATGTACATGATATATATTCTTTTATTATGAACTCTTGTTTGCTGTAAAATATGTTCATATCAGAGGCTAGTTGTTAGTCTAACTCGCCAACAGCCCAAGTCAGAATGAACTGAAAATGGAGAGATTAGGTTCAGTTCTTACAGAGTGTTTGGTTAATCTTTTCCATTCCAAGCTTTTGGAAAACAGTTTTGAAATCCCCAAGGTCTCTCGATGCAAAGTATCTGAACATTAATAATAAATCCAACAGTGTATTGTATTTCTTTCCCTTTATATAACTTTGTACAGCCACAGTAAGCACATAAAGCTTGTCTCTGTCTGTGAGAGAAATATACACGTGTTGAAAACATTGGTCTTCTGTGAAAATCCCAGATAAAAGCAAAATAACACGCACACACACACACGCACACGGACACACTCACGCAGGCACTCACGCAGGCATTTGTTTGAGGCGCACATGTTGTAGAAGTTTAGTATATATATTGGGTTTTGTATCAACGGGTCTATTATATATTTTGGAGGTCAGTAGCTCAATATCTGTACCATCATTTGAAAGCAGCATATGTCCAAGAAATCTTCAAGCCCTACGGCGTTATCCTGCACAACAAATTCACAAGATTGTGAAGGGGCTTACAACTAGGGCGTTTGAAGCATGAGTTTGATTATATCTGGTATCTATTTGTATGGATAAAAATATGGGATTTTGCAAAGCTAAATTTGACTTGAATATATGCACGTGTTTAAACAATCCATTAGACGACCGGTCATGCGTAAAACTTAAATAATTTGTTTTCAGGAAAATTGTATGTAACTTTATAGAGGCCTTCCACAATGGAGGAGGTAGAAGGTGTTCTCTCATCTCGGCAGGAAGATAAGAGCGTAAAATCGCCAACGATGTTACCCTGGGATCGCTTCTCCAACTGGTTGCATTGTGCCTGCGTGGTTACTTTTGACCTGGAACTTGGACAGGCGATGGAGGTGTGTTTAACTGAGTATTGCTGTAGTGTAAACACGCACCTGCTGATTCGGTGACACTGGCAGTTTTGGAATATGACACCTGACAGTTAAACCTGTCACAACAAAACGGCTGTAGTAATTCAGTAAAGACTGTGAAATATTGTTCTGTGGAAATATCCGCACTAGAGTGTACACTTGCTGGAATTGAAATATGAATGGAATATATCTGATTGACAGCATTAGAAACGGGTTCAGAAAGAAATGTTGTCATTAGGCTAGTGGTAAGGGTTTTAATTAAAAGCACAATGAGAAGTCAGAGCATATTAGCACTTCTTTAAAGTATGCTTGTCATTATAGGAGACTAGGAAAGACATCCCGTATACCCCCTTAAATTTCATTCTAGTCAAATCATATCACCTGAATGTATATATTCCTCATCTGATAAGGATGAGTTTAACATGTTTCTTTAACTGAAAATGCCTCTCAGAGGAATTTTTCCTCATCGTTAAAATTTGGGGGATACGGGCGGAAGTCTTACCACCTGGAGGGCTGGGTTTGATTCACCACATGGTACAACATGTGATGGCCGTTATATACTGGTGTCCATGTCATGTTGTTGCTGAATATCTGTAAACGTGACATAAAACAACACTCACTCCAAATGTTTTGCTGGTTTATTGTGTCGTCATACTGGAACAGAAATATGCATTTTGTTGCTCATTATATCAACCACAGGTTTGTATGGTCCAGACTAGATGTCATGATATAGGATAGCACAAAACAACATTTACTGACTCTCTGTTATTTGTGGTATGCAAATAATCAACAGGCAATGAATACTTTTAATCATGATTGTTATTATGAGGTGTTGCTATTTCAGATATTTTTTCATATAAACACTGATATTTACCACCAAGTTAAGTACTCACCATTATGATGATAAACGTTTCTTGATTTGGTTATTGTTTTTTTGTTTTTGTTTTTTTTTGTAAGCAATAAAGATGTTCTCCAAAACAATGAGGAAGCTCTAAGACTTAACAGTTTCATCTTTCAATATTCTAAATGTTAAAATCCTGTTCTTGTTTTTTTCAAGTTTCTTCAGTGTGGTATGTAGAGTAGTATTTATATTTATCTGCTTATCAGACACTATGTTACATTATATTATTATGTCATACATTTTTATGCCTCACTTATCACTAAAACCAGTTTATGCAGATTTTCAAGTATTTTGCAGCAGAATCTTCATTGTGCCCCAAAGTTCATATGTTTTGTCCATACAATGATCCAACTTCGCTTTGTGAAATTTAAGAACATGTTGTTCACGGTTGTGATTTACCAGCAGGAAGGGAGATAATACAAAACAAGTACTTTTGTCAAGATAAAAATCATACTGAAACATATCATCGGGATACATATCATATTGCGGCCTCATCATATCATCACACCTCTACCGCACAATTGCAGTTATTTATTCCCTGACCAGAGGGTACATCAGCTTTTCTATTATCATTTTCAACTCCCTTTGGAGTATACAACTCAAGATGTGTAGTTAATTATAATCTTGTACCTATTCCAAGCTGGGTGAACAGAGGCACATTTCGACTAAGTTTTTTTTTGTTGTTTTCCACTCTCTGTTCATTTGCATTGGGATGAGTGTTTTTAATGTACACCTTTGGTAGTGACATCACTGTAAGGAGCTATAAACATTGTTGGTTAATTGAAACAACATGGTGACTAGCAGGATATAGTCTTAGCCCTAGCACTTCCTAGCACAGCTGTTTTAATCTCATTACCAGTGAAGATCCAGGTTTGAATTGGTCTTCAGCAACCCATGCAGGATTGGGTGGTCAGACTTGCAGGTTTTCACATGTCATTGTATCCTAATTGCGTAGATTGATGCGCAGGATGCCAATCACTGGAATGTCAGGTACACACTTGATTATTTACAGGCTCAGGGGTGGAAATAACCCATTTCCCGACGTCCGAGTCCAGTGTTTTTTTCTGTCGGGCAAGCAAATTTGTATATCACACTGTACCGGTGTCCAGTTGAGTTTCCAATGTTAATTATGTTGTTTATTTAAAAAATCAGCAAGAAAATGGTCGGTATAGTGGGAAATTTATCAGGGCAAGTGACTTTACATGTGCCACTGTACCGGAGTACACTATCAATTTTAAAGTTATTTCCACCCCTGAGGCTGTCATCATGTAGCCAGAATAGTGCAGAGTGTGGCATTAAACAAACAACAAATAAAGATACAAACAAAGAGGCATCATAATCATGTACATGTAATTGTATCAAAATGTCCAATTGTCTTAACACAACTGTTTTGACCTTGTACAAACGGCACCTCCATTAGGTTATTAATACTTCCTCCTGTTGGTTTCAGCTCATCTATCCCAGCCACATCAAGCTCACAGAGAAAGAGGTAAGAAGAAAGTGTAGTTGACTCTTCCATTAATAAACTGTTTCAAATAATTCTATTTAAAATATGACATGCATTTTGCCCTTTTGAATGGCGACTCGTCTTCGTATGTTATTTATCCTCATGAGTTTCAAGGATTCTAATGGTTTGCAGAAACCTATGCTGGTCGTAAAAGATAACTGAAGGTGGATGGCATTTCATCTTGCCCAGCTGGGTGGATCAGTGCTAAGGACGTCGATCACTTGTTTCATCATATAAACAGACATACTCCCTGAAGTCTCTGTATATAATTAAGTCTTCATGGTTTTGGCAGTCTTTCAAGCATATTCAAATTTATAGATTTAAGAAGTCATTGGAAAGGGATATGATGAAAAAAGTGGGTTCACGGGTTGACATGAAACCTCTTAGCACTTCATAGTGTAGTTTGGCGATCAGTGATTATTAGTTATAATAATAATAATAAGTCATCTTCTATAGCACCAAGTGATTGCTCGCGGCTCTTAATCAGAATCTGATTATTATTGCCCTGGTACAATGGTGGATAATAACAAATTATGAAGTCAGCACATCTGGAGGCTTCACAACTATAAACTTTTGAGTAATTTGAAGAAAAGCTGTAATTCCTTAAAAATCTAAGTCCTCAGAAAACTGACAGAGAAAATCTGGTATCAAAGGGTTTCCAGTCTGTCCAGCTTTGCTTGCCTGTCTTGTTTTGGTTTGGTTATGGAAGGCAGTACTTTACATACACACTTGCTGTATTGAGAGAGGGCCTCAATCAATATCATCAACAGACTTATACAGTATGCTACACTTTTATGTGTCTACTTTCTGGCTGGGGAATTTGCAGGTCAGCATGTGGCAGACTTTCTCAAACAACACAGTGGCGATGAGCCTTGTAGAGCACGTGGCAGGCCTATTTGTTTTGAAGATCTATTCCAAATTTCAGATTTGTATTTGACCTAATAATGAGAACAAACTAATCCAGCATATAATAGATGATGATGATTTGGATTTAAACCATTTATGAGAACATCAAGTCCAGCAAATAAAATAAATGATGATCATGATGAATATGATGATGATGAATATGATGATGACGACGACGATATGTGAATCTAAAATGATAAATGATGCCATCATGTACTGAATAAACAGAGCTACTGGTACTTTATTACAACCCCTGATAATACATCCCATTAAGTGTGGGGCAGTGGCGTAGCCTTGTGGTTAAAGCGTTTGCTCGTCACACTGAAGACTCGGGTTCGATTCCCCACATGGGTGCAATATGTGAAGGCCTTTACTGGTGTCCCCCGCCGTGATATTGCTGGAATATTGCTAAAATATTGCTAAAAGCGGTGTAAAACCATACTCACTCATTCACTCACTCACTCACTCACTCACTCACTCACTCACTCACTCACTCACTCACTCACTCACTCACTCACTCACTCACTCACTCACTCACTCACTCACTCACTCACTCACAAATAAGTGTGAGAAGGTTTACTCTGGCAAATATTTTGTGAAATAATTGGATATATTTGTTTTAATTTTTTTAATTGGATTTTTTTTATTGAAGGTTTGTTAAGAATATTGTTTACATATGATAATTCACACCAGGTTGTAATGTTTATGTATAACATACTAGTATATGGAATATTATTTGATGATCTTGTAAGGGAACAGGGAGATAGCAACAAAATTTAGTAATCTGTAATACATACCCCGAAGCTATAGAAACAAAGTTATCTTTGTACATTAACAACCCCCACTGCCACTCATGGCTTTGTCATTACAATATATTATTATCTTTTTACATATCCACCTTGCAAACATGTTTTTATCTACTTATATTCACTCCATGCACTGGCTGAGCATTCCCCTGATGAAGGAGCGAGAATTAGCTCTGAAACGTCATATAAAGAATAGTAAAAGGTTGTTATCCCTAAAAACGCGTTATGTATCCAGAAACTATAATGTTTGAAAATCTCCAAAACACATCTTCAGTACTGCAATATACTGCAGTTTCTGGCTAATGCGGAACAGATTATCTTGGATCCTTTCTTTTGTATGTAATAGATAATTTAATGGGTGTTCTACAGCCTCCTTTGTGTAATATATACTGAACATCATTGAAAACGCACCCGTCTAAATTTGTCCATATTTTCATCAAGATGGATTTCAGCTTGACAATGATCAATGAATATAACTAACATGAAGTCGAAGGGCATGTCCAGTTGAAAAAATGCTTTAGGATCAAATTCCTGTCCACAGTATGACTCTTAATTCCAAAATGCATCAACATTCAGCCACGCCATGAAAAAAGCGCGAATTTCATTCTGAAAGCATACTGACTGTGACATTAAAAGCAGGTGTATGAGAACCGATTCTCATTGCTTCACTAACAATTGTGAAACGAGGACAGAGATGCCGAGGTTAACACAGGACAACGCAGGGGCATACACAAGACTTTCCATGCAGTATCTGGCCCAGCAACACATCCAGGTTATTCATTGGCCATCACAGTCCATGTATCCCCCATGGAGCACTTGTGGGACGAAATTGGTCAAAGTCTTTCGCGGCGACAACAGATGCGAAACATCCGGGAACTTGAGGCTGCACTACTGCAGAAGTGGAATGCCATCCTCAACAACTCTATTTAGACACTTATTGACTCAATGAGGAGAAGTTGAACTGCATGTGTCAATGCAAATGGCGGTCACACGCGATATTGATCCTTTCTGACTGTGGAACATTTCAATGAATGAGCGTCTTTTCTGTGTTGTTGTTTTTGTCAGTCGTCCATCTGTTATTATCCACTCAAAAAATATCAATTCCTTACACATGCTTTTAATAATATGAACTTTTATAAGTGGTGTGTTTTCAATGATGTTCAGTATATATTAGTGGTGGTCCGATTAATTGAAATAATCGAGATTGGTCGCAATGACAAAACGACCAAGCAATCGATCATGTTTTCTCATAATCGAGCACAGTCAAGTTTGGAACACTCGTTTGCAATAACAATAGTTTTCACAAGGTTGGCTTTGTCTGTTAGATTTCATTAGTACTACAAGCTCTTCCAATTCATGATTGAATTTATTTTAAAGACTCCATGAAATTCATGTTCCTAGTCATCCTTTAAAGCTGTGAAATTTGCAAATGCATTTTGTGCAATTTGCAAAGAAAACGAAAGAACTACATGTTTTTTTCTTGATCTTTTGTGCATTAAGAAACATTACCAGGAAAATTTGATAAATGACGCTAACCAATTTTTTTCGATGATTGATCGGTTGTAATGAACCAATCATCAAGTATGAGATTTAAACCAATTCCCAACACTAGTATATAACAGGTTCCTCATTTCACAATCTAAAAAAACTGCATTTCTGTTTTACTTTGATCATTATCCTAATTGTAATAATATAAATGTATTTTATTTCCCTTATCTAAAATGATGTACTGGCACTCGCTTTAATGGTTTCGGGGCGGTGGGGTAGTCTAGTGGTTAAAGCGTTGGGTCGTCATGCCGAAGTCCCAGGTTCGAATCCCCACATTGGTACAATGAGTGAAGCCCATTTCTGGTGTCCCCCGCCATGATATTGCTGGAATATTGCTAAAAGCGGCGTAAAACCAAACTCAGTCAGTCAGTCAGTTTAATGGTTTCCTTGTATTGTTTGGAGAGATATGTATTAATTGGGATTGTAATTTGATATAATGTATGTCTAATGATCAGATTAAGTATAATCATTTTAATCATTTGTAACATATACAGAGTAATATACTTTCATCAAAAGCGCCTGGGATTCATGTCGCCATTTATAAAAAATAGGTCAGATGTTATTGATTGCCAGGCTATTTGAGTGTGTTAAATGACATAAGTAGCAATCTGTCTTTGACCTGTCACAGATCAGTCACATGTGACACGACTTGTGCAATACACGTGACCTAGTTAGAATACTCATTGTAGCAGCAGGTGTGAAGAATCTGAATAAATAAATAATACTTTCATTGTTTTGATAATAAAAATTTTCAATTACAGTTCCATGAAAATTCAAAATAAATGTGGGCATAAATTTGGGGCAGAAAACATTTAAACCAATGAAAATGAAACGAGAATGTCAACAGGTACAAAAACAACTTGTTGACATGTGATAGCACTGGCTTGTGAGTGATTATGTTAAGAAATATATACAATTTCAACCATGTTTTGCATATGGAAATAATGAAATTAACGCGAACCTGAAATGAATGAGAAAATGAGATTAACACATGCTTGTATTGATAAAATGGCACATTTTTATGATATTCAGTAGTGTTGTTATTACCAAATACCACAGACTAATTCTACAGTGTACAATCTTAGAGTTTTTTTTTTTTAAGTTTTCAAGGACAGCCCTACTTCCATTTATTTGATGACACACCCATTAGGTCAGGTTTGACACATTATTTTTTGTCTTCTTACTATCTTTATTTATAGTATGTGGGTGAAAAGGTCAAAAGTAATGTGACTTCATATCCACAGTTTTTTACAGCCATTCATTCAGTAGTAAATCGGTCAAAGGTCATGTTAAAAGGCACTCTCCTACCCAGAGTTCCATGCGGCCAGCCAGCATAGTACCTCTGCCACAGGCCAGAAAGATGTGACGATTCGTCACATCTTGCACCGTATATTCAATATAATGTACATATTTCTTAACTCTTTTATTTTTGACGAGGCTACACATCTAATTAAACATCTTTGATAGAATGGTTTAGTTTCACTGAGAAAATATCCTAAAACATGTAACACTATTTCGATTTGCGTAGCGATCCTTTGTTTACATAGGTTGTACGGCTCAACGTGCTGTCATCGGAGCTGACGGAGAGCAAACAATGCAGCCAGTTTGATATCTAAATATGTACTGTCATAAACCTTACTGTCGCAGTTGTGGAAGAATATATATGGAACAATGTAAAACATTGTGAAGAGCGTGCCGAAAAACTTGCGTAAGGCCAGTCTCTTCTTATTATGAATATGCGCGCTTGTTTACAAACAAGAGAAAAGTCCGGGTCACATGATATGCAAATTAGCCTGTGGCAGTGATGTTATGCTAAGTCATCACTGCGCTGGAGTGTGGTTAAAAGGGCAATGTTGGTAGGACGGTAGTGACTGAAACAGGGCTGGGTTTTACTGACATGAAGTCGAACTAGTATTTCCTGTCTTGGTTTGTAATTTGGTTTGGTTGAATATAGAGACCATGACCTTTGAACTGTCAATGTCAGGGTCATAAGAAGGACCTTGACATTCATTCTTAATTTGGATACTGTGGTTATTATGTCTGTGAAGCAGGAATCTTATGGGACAGTGTTTCAAAATGTTGAGCAGATGCAGAATTGGGAATGTGACATTGAGCAATATTTGCATAGATTATCTTCTTCAGGTAGTGTTGCTTTTTAATAGCTTAGTGCTTTGTGTTAGCCTATTGTTATTTTATTGTTTTTAAATTTCATGTCATGCTATTCAACTCTATCATAGGTAGATGCAATTAAATGTATGCATGGCCATCAAATGAAAACAGGTCACCATTATATGAGATACCGGAACATATTGATTAAATCTTTCGTAGCAGAATAACAAACGCATGAACTTCATACTTGCAGTGATTACTGTATGGTACTTTCATGGATTCATCCAACCTTTGTTTGTATTTTTCAGAAAATGAACATCTGTTACTTGTCATTTCCTGATTCGAACTCAGGTATGTATGTGAACTCACACTAATAATACATTGTCATGTCACCTTCCACACTCATCCCTGTGTCTATCATTACGAAAAACAAACACACAAAATACATGACTACTATAGCAGTAAATATATACAAATTTCTTTTGAAAATACTCAGCTGCAGTATTATCATGTGATGTAGGAACATGGGGAGTTCGTCCCGTGAAAGTCCGGGTTAGAATATTGATCTTCAGTAACCCATGTTTGTCGTGAGTGGCGACTAACTTTAAACCCAGCTTGTATGTACTGCTGACTTTGTCATACACACCAGTCACTCCTATACACACTACATGGACGTCCTTTGATCAAACTAGGGCAGGTGATATGCATGTGAAGATGGGTGTGGTTGCATGAAGAGAGAAGGCAGTGAAAGGGAAGGCTAATATCTGATGTTATTAGTATCCCAGCATATTCCATCTCAGAACGTCCAGCTTAGATCTTCAAATTGTTTACCTTAAATTGTCACCTGAACTATTCAACACAATAATATAGCAGGTTATGTTTTGGGTTGTTTTTTTTATCTTTTTGTTCTTTTCAGTTCAGTAGGTGTACGTTCAGGTTGGGTGTGTACAGATAAATGTATTACGTATGAATAACAATTTCATGTAATTTCTATAAAGCAGCAAGACATTGTTCGTTGGATACTGTACTGAAGTGTGCGTGAAATAAGCATGTATGAACATCAAAACTGTTTGAAGTTGTATAATTTGAATACTGATAAAAGACAAAATTAAGACATGAGACAACTACATTAAGTCTGTAATACAGTCATCAAATATTTCAACTTTGCATGGTATGAGGGCAGAGCGTCTTCAGCCTTTCAGCCTAAGTTTGGTAACATTATGAAAAATTACCCCTTTTAAATGTACTGAGTTCGGAATATATCATTTAGATTTCATTTTCCAAAGGAAGAAATTATATCTGAATTTTGGGGCCCTTTGGATGTGCATGTTGTCATTACAGGTGCGTGACAAGGTGTGTCATTGTATATTGATTTGTTGGTAACTTGGCACTGTCAATATTGTATTGATACAAATTGATCAATATCAATTGTATATTAATAATTCACCACAGACGTGTACATTTGCCAGTATCACCATGAAGTCTGACGACAGTTGTTATGGATATACAACTTCTCTATTCTGTATAGGCAACGTTTCGACATAGATTCTAATGTCGTTGTCAAGCAAGTGGTGACACCATTAAAATTGTCCTCATTCTTCATCTCCTAAACATCTGTCAATCAAAGAAGTATCACCATGGTTAAGATGGACATTTAGATGGCAAAACATTCAATTGTAAACATTAGCCAAGTCCATGAGCTTGAAATAATACAGCATGAAATTTCATATCTTCAAAGGTCTTTTTTTAGTTTTACAAAATAATCAGTTTTATTGTTCTGTCACTATACCATGAGTCAGTAAACTGATGCTAAAATTTCCATTTAGTGAAGACTCTGTGGCTTTTGTGGCTTTTCAGACACTGTGTGTAGCAGTTGGACTTTCAAAATCATCAGACATCAGTAACACTGGTGAATTATAAGGGTGCACCCTGTATACAAGCTGGGGTGTTCATGCCAAGCAGCGTGAGCTTAACTTCTTTGAGTGGTGGGACGGTGGGGTAGCCTAGTGGCTAGAGCGTTCGCTTGTCACGCTGAAGTACCGGGTTCAATTCCCCACATGGGTACAATGTGTGAAGCCCATTTCTGGTGTCCCCCTGCCGTGATACTGCTAGAATATTGCTAAAAGCGGCGTAAAACCATACTCACTCACTCACTCACTCACTCACTCACTCACTCACTCACTCACTCACTCACTCACTCACTCACTCACTCACTCACTCACTCACTCACTCACTCACTCACTCACTCTTTGGGTGTCATTTTAGGAGATGGAGAGTCAGATAAGGACAAACTTTATGGATGAACAACTATTTTGATACAGATTTATGAATCGTTGATACCTGCTTGACAACGATGCAAGAATCTGTATCGAAACATCGTATCGCCTGAATAAAGGAGTCGTTGAGCCACAAAGTTGACCCTTACCTAAGCCAGAGTTTGTCTGATCGGAATCTGTGACCTTGACCCTGTTCCACAATGCCATCTTAGCGCTAGGATGATCAGAACTCTTATTCATCAACATTGGCTTCAGACACACATAGTTGTACATAGCTCTGTGAAATGTGGGCCAGGATGTGTGTGGTGGTACCCTGAAGTTGTGGATCTTTACTTATATTGAAAAGGAGCCCTAGGGTTTTACACTATGTGCAATATAGGGCACAACAGTAGAGGGGCTAGGGTAGCCTAATGTGGTTCAGGGGACTGTGAGACAGACTAGGTGGTACCCTGAACTTGTGGATTCACTGTAGATCATGGTTTACAATATGTGCAATACACACAAATGTAGATAATGGACGCACAATATTATTCATTGTACCCACAACACATCTTTGACTTTGGTAAGTGTTTGGTTGTTTCTTTAAGTTTAAGAGCAGTAAAGTGCATAATTTCATCAATCAGTCCATGTGATTAAAGTTTCATTCGAGGCTCTAAAGAAATTGCCAGAGCGTACAGTTCTCTACACTGCCGCAGGACCCTCATATTGCCTAGAAACCCTTAAAACTAATACTTAGGGGTTCCTGGGACTCCCATGTTTGTGAGTCGGGGCTTGTTACTCGATATATCAATCAGTCCGGCTGTTTGGCTATCGAGTCAGAACCAGATGATCCAGACCATATTGACCTAGTTAGGAATCAATCAGGATGCTGAGAAGAAGAGTGTTAGCGGTGGTTGGTCTTGTCACCTGCAGGACCCATTTCATTGACATATTGATAAGATACATCCAGCAGACACTGTTTGGAAGCCCTAATTACACAAACATTGCAGTTCAGGTTATATGGATTTATATGGATCATTTGGCTGGTCTTTATTGGCCATATGACCACACCCACCTTTCAATTCAGTAGTGTCATGGTAACTTAATTGTTGAAGCAATGGTTTGTCACACAAAGGGTCTGTTTGATATGGCCACAGTGGTATTACCACCTGTTATGTTGTAGGGTGAGTGAGTTTAGTTTTATGCCGCTTTTAGCAATATTCCAGCAATATCATGGCGGAGGACACCAGAAATGGGCTTCACACATTGAACCAAGGTCTTCGGTGTGACAAGCAAATGCTTTAACCAGTAGGCTACCCCACCACCCCTTTATGTTATTGGAATGTTGCTTATAGTAATGTTAATCCTTGTCTGTCTCATAGTCCCCGAGGGGCGGTAGGGTAGCCTAGTGGTTAAATTTTGGCTCATCACGCTGAAGACCCGGGTTCGATTCCCCACATCGGCACAATATGTGAAGCCCATTTCTGGTGTCCCCTGCCGTCATATTGCTGGAATATTGCTAAAAGCGGCGTAAAACTCAACTCAGTCAGTCAGTCATAGTCCCTGAACTGCATTATTTCCCTTTTCACCCAACCCATTGAAGCAAGTCTAGATTTCCTCAGGTTCTTCTCCCGTCTCGCTTGGGCCCCTTTTCAATTTAAAAGGAACTATTTGTTTGTATACCAAGATTTCCAGGCACACATATTTATGAAAACACAATGCCATTTAGTATGTTAACAATGAGTGACATGTTATTTAGCATATTTAGCTTGAACATTGCTGATTGTAGCACTCACTCACTCACTCACTCACTCACTCATGGTGCATCCGATTGTTTGTGGTTTGTCTGTCTGTCCATCGTTAACAAACATATTTTAGATATCCTCTGAACGTAAAAAGACTGCAGATCTGGCACAGTTTTGGTCTTTAAGCCCAACGTGACTTTAGATATGGCCACAATTATTTATTCATCATTAAAGTGAGCTACAGAGCCTTGTGACTCCATTTTCACACAGGATATGGTTGTGATATAGTCTTGACTGGATTATATTGAACAGGCTGTGGAATTATTCATTCAGACTGAAAATTAATATGTGTGAAATTACTGATTATTAGTGTGTGAAATTGTTCAGACTGTTGGAAATGTTTAAGTCCTTGATCTAGGTCATAGTCTACATACACTAAAAGTATATAAAACTTAATCTGATCATACATTTGGATGGCACCATTTCTAATCTTATGTCATTGTAATTCTGAAATTAAAGACCCATAGTAGTGAGTGAATTTTGTGTTACGCCGCTTTTAGCATTATTCCTGAATTTCCAGCAACATCACAATGGGGGACACCAGAAATTGACTTCACACACTGTACCCATGTGGGGAATCACACCTGGGTCTTTGTGTGACAAGCGAACGTTTTAACCACTAGGCTACCCCATCGCCCCCAGTTCATAGTGATACATAGCTATGACTGATTCTGTTCTGTCAATTCCCAATGACCTTGTTTTTCATTACACATGATAAAACCATTTACAAATGGCCATTTTTGAGACCCACAGATGTCCTGACCTTGAAGTTGTCTACATTATAAAACTTTTAATGGAGATTATAAACGGGGTAAAATTTGTTCCACAAAGCACTAACTACATACATAAATGTTCAAAATCAGTTTATCATGTTGCAGATGCCATCACTGTTGTAACTCTGAACGTCCACTGGAATTATCTAATCGATTTGAAAGTAATGATTTTCATGATATCTGTATTACATGCTCCTTTGCTTTCATTGTGACAATATATGCTGGAAATGAACAATCAACTCTACATTTATCATGGCCCCTTACAGCTGAAGTTCAGCTGACAGGACGTAATGAGACTGGTGTGTCTTGGAGCAGATCTTACGTTCACTCAAACTAAATAGCTGTGTAGACATGGTAAACATTGGATAATTGAGTTTTTCAGCCTCACTGTCAACTTTACAATCAATAGATTGATAAATCTTGTTTCACGTTACGGACTCATTATTCCTGATTGTAATTACTGGTAGCCATTAATCATTATCAAATATCTACAGGATTAATTATTGATTCGTTATGCACTTACTGCTCAAATTGAATCACTGGACGCAAAATGCCAGTAACAGCAAGGATAGTGCGACACACAGTGAGATTTATTTATTTTAGGCCAGACCACCTCATTTCTTGTTTCTGGAATATTGCTGAGTGCTGCATAAACTGAACTCACTAACTCACTGAAAGATTGCGCTCTCGTGCTCACCTGAGTTAATTTGTCTTATGTTGTTATCCTGAGTGCGGCTTAAAACTAAATTCACTCACTCAATCACTCATATTTAGATTGTATGGAATCCACAGTGTTCCTGGACTGATGTTGATATATGAAATTTGTAATACTGATATGATTACCACATACAGCAGTTGTAGAAGGTGAATTTAACAAACTGAATCGTGTCAGTGAAACTATTTGCCAAACTTCAAGTGATGTGTGCATGTGTGCAGTATTGATCAGTGCACTATAGGAGAAGTAAATGTTCAACAGCTGATGTTGCACCGACGTGCTATAGATCAGTCGTGACCCGTCACGTGATGTTGACATGGGGAAGTGGTGTAAGGCATAGTACCTACTTCTGAAATAATGTGTGTGGATGTCAAGTGGCTTTTGCTGTCATGGTATTCAAAATATTCCACTCTGTTGTCTCCAAGTGTTGCTAAGGTCATGGTTGTTGTGGACGGTGTGGCATTGGTCGTTAGTGTACCACTGAAGAACCATCCATCCATCCACATCCATCCACTCACTCATCCATCCAAACATCCATCCATTCATCCATCCATCCATCTACCCATCCATCCATCCATCTATACATCCATCCATCCATCCATCCATCTATACACCCTTCTGATCCATCCATCTATCCACTGATCCATCCAATCCATCCATCTGTCCATCCTTCTGTCCACCCTGTCCATCCATCCACCCATCCATCCATCCATCCACTCACCCATCCATCTATACACCCATCCATCCATCCATCACATGCAACACACATTTGTCTGTCCATCCATCCATGCCCATCCATCCATCCATCCATCCATCATCCATCCATCTTCATCCATCCATCCATCCATCCATCCACCCATCCATCCATCCACTCCACCCACCCATCCATCCATCCATCTATGCACCCTCCTGTCTGTCTGTCCATCCATCCACCTGACCATCCATCCATCCACCTATCCATCCACTCATACACCATACTGAAATATACAGCTTCTTTACAATGGATCTGTGGCCTTCAAGTACAAACATGCACATATACATGCTACATGTATCAAGGACAAGCACAACATATACATGCTACATGTTTCAAGTACAAGCACAACATATACATGCTACATGTTTCAAGTACAAACACACACATATACATGCTACATGTTTCAAGTACAAACATGCACATATACATGCTACATGTTTCAAGTACAAACATGCACATATACATGCTACATGTTTCAAGTACAAACATGCACATATACATGCTACATGTTTCAAGTATAAACATACACATATGCATGCTACATGTTTCAAGTACAAACACAACATTTTTCTGTTACTGGAGGTTAGGTTTCATTTTACATCTAGATCACGATGTGGTGTCATGGTAAAGTCAGCAGGAAGTTTGAAGCAGAAAGAGAACATATGGGAATTTTGATGTCATGTTCGTGTTTCTGAGGAGTTAAGCTATAAAGGGAAGTATCAGAAAGAAAACAAACTGAAAATGTTTTTCATATTCCTCTTACAGTTAAAAACAATAGGACCTGCAATGTGGCTATCACACATATAATATGTTCTAAATTTTAGGTCCCACTTTTAGAAAGAATCTTGCTCTGAAACTAGCTGAAATACTCTTTTGTCTTATCTGAACGAAAATTCCATTTGAGTAATAAATTTTGCCTTGCTCATGGGACACAGAATATCTCCATGGTCGTTATTTGCAACATGGATACGACCCGTGAAGATTCGGGGTAGAATAGATCTTCAGCAACCCATGCTTTCCACAAAAGGCACCGCTCCATTGGTGTAGTGGTTAGGCGTCACGCCGAGGAGGAAGGTCATGCTCGCGTTAAAATATGGTACTTGTTGGTGGCCTTTCCGAAGAGGTGACTAACGGGATCGGGTGGTCAGGCTCGCTGACTTGGTTGACACATGTCATTGGTTCCCAAATGCACAGATCGATGCTCATGCTGTGGATCACTGGATTGTCTGGTCCAGACTCGATTATTTACAGACTGCCACCATATAGCTGGAATATTGCTGAGTGTGGTGTAAAACTAAACTAACTCACTCACTCACTCCAACATGGATACAAAATATGTATCCAGTCAAGTATCCCTCGCTGTGGCTAAATGTTGATGACATCTATGTCTGACAAACCCCACTCACCCATGTCTTTACCAGAGATAGAACCAGGGTATTGAAAAATGGGGAGCACAAAACCCAGCTATAATGTGGAGAAAGCCTATAAGGGGGACTGACACTGACATTTCAGGGATTCAGGATTAGAAGCTATCTCAAGCTGTCTGTGGGCTGGGCCGATACACTATGTCATGATACGATACTTATCGCGATATTTACCTGCGATACGATACGTATCACGATACATACACCTTGAAAGAATGACACAGTATTAAGATTTAAAATGATGTATTTCAAGGAATTTGTGTATAACAATAGCACTATTGTAATGAACAAAAAAGTAATTCTATCATACTTGCATATTTTTCTCTAAATAGGAACTTTAACATGTTTAAGATTATACTGTTTTGAAAAAAGGTCGTGTATTATTTTGTATTGATACACCAGTCGACGATACGATAGCTGTATCAAACTTAAATGTATCGTGATGTATCGGTGAATCGTCCAGCCCTACCAGTCATAAGAGGTGACAACATAGAGGGGTGGATATGTATATATGAGAGTGAGGGATCGAATTCCGAATGGGAATCAACATAGCAAACGAACTAGAAGCTGTACTCTACTGAGAAAGTGTAATCCCAAAAAGACCATATGTTACAATAATAAAGGGGTGTCGATTGTGATGGGGGTGGTGGGGTAGCCTAGTGGTTAAAGCGTTCGCTCGTCATGCCGATGGCCCGGGTTCGATTCCCCACATGGGTACAATGTGTGAAGCCCTTTTCTGGTGTCCCCCGCTGTGATATTGCTGGAATATTGCTAAAAACGGCGTAAAACCATACTCGGTCAGTCAGTCGATTGTGGTGACTGGGTATGATTTAGCTGAATGCAAAGCCCATGGATGTATAGTAATTCTATCCTTTAAAGAGGTAAGTCTAGATAAGCTTACAGTCTAAGGATGCCAGTCTGTGAGGGGATATTTATGTTTTTTACTAATTATCCTGTAAACTGTTAATTATTACCTTAGAGACTTGTGCAAGTCTAGGTATGATTGTACCCTTGTGTTGTTTGCCAATGCTCATAGTATCAATCACCGGTTCATCTGTTACAGACTAGATTGTCAGTTTTTTTTGAAAATAACATTTACCAACAAGCGTTCTCCAAAAATGTAATATTTGCACCCCTGCACCCCTTTCATGGTCTGCCAGTTGTTGCTGCTGCTGTAGCGATGTTGCTGTGTCAGTGGTATGGCTGAACACATGTGATCAATAAATCCACAGTGTCTCTCATTATCACTCTTGCTGCTGCCCTGAGCTGTGACACTATTGACACACATGGCCATTATGTTTCATGTTCCTATGTTTTCCTGCAGGCTGTATGGGAGACACGCAGTTTCACTTCCGGATCCGACAGTGCCCAGGCCGACGGCAGATGATCCAGGCACACAGCCAGTACAACCGAGATTGCCCTGTTTCACTTCAGGTAACCACACATAGTAAAGCAGATAAAAGGCAGAACTGTTCAAATGATGATACAAGCACAAAAGTTTGCACAGTCATCACCTTTGAATTTTAATCTCTAAAATCCAAGATGGCTGCCAAAACTATTAATCACCAATTTCCAACATGGATGCCAAAAAGAACTGGTCTCCAGAAAGCAAAGTTGGCTGCCAATTCCCTTTTCAAAAGTCCATTATTTGCCTTCTAAGGACTAGGTTTGAAGACTTCAAGTATTTTTGGTGGAAGGACAAGATGGGTCACCTGCACGTAGTGCTTGTTTTAATGCACACCATAATGGTTGGTTGGTTTGTTGTTTAACGCCGCACTCAGCAATATTCCAACCATATGGTGGCGGTCCATAAATAACTGACTCTGGACTAGGCAATCCAGTGATTTCGTGCAACTGGAATATGATGACATGTTCCAACCATGTCAGAGACCCTGAAAACCAGATCCTGTTAGTCGCCTCTTACGACAAGCACGGGTTTCTGAAGACCAATTCTGAAAACTGTGTGATCCAAATATTGGACATGTCTGTGTGTCACTATGCTCAGATGGACTGAATATGTGTTCACGTTATCAACCACTGGGTGTCCAAGACATAATGCAGGACCATTATTTGGCTAAGGTTTGTTCGCTGAGATGAACAGAAAAATTTCTTTTTATATATTTTATTAAAATTCTTTGAATGTTTTGAGATTAAAAGGCTTTTAGGAGCTGATGTTAGGTAGCCTAAAGCTCTTGAAATGTTTCAGTAGAGAGTTTTCTGAAGGGCGGTGTTTAGTTTATAAATATTGTGTTGAAATTGCCATGTCTCCTGAGTAGCTACTTATGTGTAAGTCGTAATGTCACAAATATATTTGCACTAATTAGGAATAATCCTCTGCATATATAACAACTTGATTTTCCTTTCACACATTTTATTAAATATTACATACATGAAAACAATCAATATTTCATTGCTGTTGTTTCAAGATAATATCCTCCCAGTTTAGATCTTCTGTGACCTCCATACAAGAAATATTTGAGAGTGTAAAACCTGACTCATACACTGACTGCATGGCAATATGGTACATCTGTTAACATTGATTTGCCCTCTGATAACATCTGACAGTTTCCCTGTATGATCAAAATATGAATCTGGAGTATTGAGGGAATTAATCGCAAAATACTTGACTCAGGAAGGCCTTATAAAAAAGTTTTGTACAAAATGTTTGAGTGTGTGTGAAAAGTTCAGAAGGAATAAAGAATGAAATTTGTAAGGGTGAATGTTTCTTAGTTTAGGAAACATATAAATAAAAAAAATGGTTTATGACACAATGGTTCCAAATATCTTCAGTAGTACATGGTAGTCTTTCTGTTTTGGTTGTACGTGGACTGGCAAATGCAAACAAAAAAAATGATAAAAAACACATACATTCAGTTACACATAGTTTCCATTTTATGTTGTAGAGTCTTGTGAAACAAACAAATTGATTGTTTAGGCCTTACTGGATCAGCAAGGTGTATCAAAATGAGGCAGGGAGACATGTTTGTATTGATTTCAATGACAAAGCTAAACAGGTGTCAAGCAGGTAGATGAATTCTAGGTGTATTACACAGGACTGTCACACAGGTAGATGAATTCTAGGTGTATTACACAGGACTGTCACACAGGTAGATGAATTCTAGGTGTATTACACAGGACTGTCACACAGGTAGATGAATTCTAGGTGTGTTACACAGGACTGTCACACAGGTAGATGAATTCTAGGTGTATTACACAGGACTGTCACACAGGTAGATGAATTCTAGGTGTATTACACAGGACTGTCACACAGGTAGATGAATTCTAGGTGTGTTACACAGGACTGTCAAACAGGTAGATGAATTGTAGGTGTGTTATACAGAACTGTCAAGCAGGTAGATGAATTCTAGGTGTGTGTCAGCAGTTCAAAATCCCATTGTAGATGAAGCCCGGACTAAGTCAGTTTTCATTTTGACTGGCAATCAATTAATGGTATCTTACTTAGGGGTGGGCTACTAGGTAATTTTTACTTATGGTTTCAAACTGCAAATAACCTTTGGATTTAATTTCATATCTGCTCAAAATGTATCAATTAAATTTCAAGTATGATACAAAGGTATAGACTGTTTTCTTTCTATTTATCACTTTTAGTAAATAGTCCAGTAAATATTAGCGTCAAAATACCATGTTGATGTTTCTTCATAATTACATCATCATGATTATGTGAAAATCAGGGCAAGTGGCAAATTACTCATGAAAGTTACTTTCAAAGTCCACTTGCCTGTGGCAAGTGGCTTTTAAAGGTAGATGAATTCCCCTGGTTGTACAGGACTACCCAGGTAGATGAATTCTAGGTGTGTTGTACAGGACTGTCAAGCAGAGATGAATTCTAGGTGTGTTGTACAGGGCTGTCAAGCAGAGAGATGAATTCTAGGTGTGTTGTACAGGACTGTCAAGCAGGTAGAGAGGTGAATTGTAGGTGTGTTGTACAGGACTGTCATACAGGTAGATGAATTGTAGGTGTGTTGTACAGGACTGTCAAGCAGGTAGATGAATTGTAGGTGTGTTGTACAGGACTGTCATACAGGTAGATGAATTGTAGGTGTGTTGTACAGGGCTGTCATACAGGTAGATGAATTCTAGTTGTGTTGTACAGGGCTGTCATACAGGTAGATGAATTGTAGGTGTGTTGTACAGGACTGTCAAGCAGAGAGGTGAATTCTAGGTGTGTTGTACAGGACTGTCAAGCAGAGAGATGAATTCTAGGTGTGTTGTACAGGACTGTCAAGCAGGTAGATGAATTGTAGGTGTGTTGTACAGGACTGTCAAGCAGAGAGATGAATTGTAGGTGTGTTGTACAGGACTGTCATACAGGTAGATGAATTCTAGGTGTGTTGTACAGGGCCTGTCATACAGAGAGATGAATTCTAGGTGTGTTGTACAGGACTGTCAAGCAGAGAGTGAATTCTAGGTGTGTTGTACAGGACTGTCAAGCAGAGAGATGAATTCTAGGTGTGTTGTACAGGACTGTCAAGCAGTAGATAGATGAATTCTAGGTGTGTTGTACAGGACTGTCAAGCAGAGATGAATTGTAGGTGTGTTGTACAGGACTGTCAAGCAGAGAGATGAATTGTAGGTGTGTTGTACAGGGCTGTCATAAAGGTAGATGAATTCTAGGTGTGTTGTAAAGGGCTGTCAAGCAGAGAGATGAATTGTAGGTGTGTTGTACAGGGCTGTCAAGCAGAGAGATGAATTCTAGGTGTGTTGTACAGGGACTGTCAAGCTACAGGTAGATGAATTGTAGGTGTGTTGTACAGGGCTGTCATACAGGTAGATGAATTGTAGGTGTGTTGTACAGGACTGTCAAGCAGGTAGATGAATTCTAGGTGTGTTGTACAGGACTGTCAAGCAGGTAGATGAATTCTAGGTGTGTTGTACAGGGCTGTCATACAGGTAGATGAATTGTAGGTGTGTTGTACAGGACTGTCACACAGGTAGATGAATTGTAGGTGTGTTGTACAGGACTGTCATACAGGTAGATGAATTCTAGGTGTGTTGTACAGGACTGTCAAGCAGAGAGATGAATTGTAGGTGTGTTGTACAGGACTGTCAAGCAGAGAGATGAATTCTAGGTGTGTTGTACAGGGCTGTCATAAAGGTAGATGAATTCTAGGTGTGTTGTACAGGGCTGTCAAGCAGAGAGATGAATTGTAGGTGTGTTGTACAGGGCTGTCAAGCAGAGAGATGAATTCTAGGTGTGTTGTACAGGACTGTCATTGCAGGTAGATGAATTCTGTAGGTAGTGTTGTACAGGACTGTCATACAGGTAGATGAATGAACAGGTACTTCTAGGTGTGTTGTACAGGACTGTCAAGCAGGTAGATGAATGAATAGGTGTAGTTGTGTTCGTAAAACCCATCACAGGACTGTCAAGCAGGTAGAATTCCAGGTTGTTGGTGCAGGACTGTACACAGATAATGTCACCTACATTGTCAAGCTGCAGGTATGAATTGTAGGTGTGTGTTGTACAGGACTGTCATCAGGTAGATGAATCTTAGGTACAGGATGTCAATTATGGTCTAGGTGTGTTGTACAGGACTGTCAAGCTAAGAGATGAATTCTAGGTTGACCAGGTGTACAGGACTGTCATACAGGTAGATGGTGTAGGTGTGTTGTACAGGACTGTCAAGCAGAAGATGGTGTGGTGTGTTCTACAGGTGTAAGGGCCGTAAGAGGACCAGGTGATGTATGACCGTCATACAGGTAGATGTAATCAGGTAGATGAATCAGGCAAGCCGGTAGGTGTGTTGTACTCAGGACTGTCACAGGACTGCAGAAGATGAATTCTAGGTGTGTTGTACAGGACTGTCAAGTGGCTTGTACAGGACCGTCAAGCAGGTACAGGACTGTCAGGACTGTAAGCAGAGAGATGAATTGTGGGTGTGTTGTACAGGACTGTCAGTGAGATGAATTCCAGGTAGATGAATCTCTAGGTGTGTTGTACAGGACTGAGATGAATTGTAGGTGTGTTGTACAGGACTGTCAAGCAGAGGTGTGTTGTACAGGACTGTCAAATTACAGAGAGATGAATTGTAGGTGTGTTGTACAGGACTGTCAAGCAGGTAGATGAATTCTAGGTGTGTTGTACAGGACTGTCAAACAGGTAGAGATGAATTCTAGGTGTGTTGTACAGGACTGTCAAGCAGGTAGATGAATTCTAGGTGTGTTGTAAGCAGGACTGTACAGGTAGATGAATTCTAGATTATGTGTTGCTAGGGACAAGCAGGTAGATGAATTGTAGGTGTGTTGTGTACAGGACTGTCAAGCAGTGTAGATGAATTCTAGGTGTGTTGTACAGGACTGTCAAGCAGAGAGATGAATTCTAGGTGTGTTGTACAGGACTGTCAAGCAGGTAGTTGAATTCTAGGTGTGTTGTACAGGACTGTAAGATGAATACAGGTAGATGAATGTAGGTGTGTTGTACAGGACTGTCACACAGGTAGATGAATTGTAGGTGTGTTGTACAGGACTAAGTCAAGCAGAGAGATGAATTCTAGGTGTGTTGTACAGGACTGTCAAGCAGAGAGATGAATTGTAGGTGTGTTGTACAGGACTGTCATACAGGTAGATGAATTCTAGGTGTGTTGTACAGGACTGTAGATGAATTCAGGTGTGTTATACAGAGATGAATTGTAGGTGTGTTGTACAGGACTGTCAAGCAGGTAGATGAATTGTAGGTGTGTTGTACAGGACTGTCAAGCAGGTAGATGAATTCTAGGTGTGTTGTACAGGACTGTCAAGCAGAACAGAGATGAATTCTAGGTGTGTTGTACAGGACCGTCAAGCAGGTAGATGAATTCTAGGTGTGTTGTACAGGACTGTCAAGCAGAGAGATGAATTGTAGGTGTGTTGTACAGGACTGTCACACAGGGTAGATGAATTCTAGGTGTGTTGTACAGGGCTGTCAAGCAGAGAGATGAATTCTAGGTGTGTTGTACATGACTGTCAAGCAGAGAGATGAATTGTAGGTGTGTTGTACAGGACTGTCATACAGGTAGATGAATTCTAGGTGTGTTTGTACAGGACTGTCAAGCAGGTAGATGAATTGTAGGTGTATTACTCAGGACTGTCAAGCAGAGAGATGAATTCTAGGTGTGTTGTACAGGACTGTCAAGCAGGTAGATGAATTCTGTCAAGCAGGTAGGTGTGTTGTACAGGACTGTCATACAGGCAGATGAATTGTAGGTGTGTTGTACAGGACTGTCACACAGGTAGATGAATTGTAGGTGTGTTGTACAGGACTGTCAAGCAGAGAGAGATGAATTCTAGGTGTGTTGTACAGGACTGTTATACAGGTAGATGAATTGTAGGTGTGTTACACAGAACTGTCAATCAGGTAGTTACCCTGTGAGTCTTCTGTTACAGTCGGACAGTGCTCACTACTACGGCTTTGTCTACTTCCGCCAGACAAAGGACAAGACCATTAGACGAGGATACTTCCAGAAGGTAAGAACTTGGTGATTATTAACCGTCTGTTCAGTACTGAAACCAGTGGCAAGTCACACAGCACATGGCCATGCAGAGTTGTGTCCCTTGGTCACTACCCCATACTGTATATGACCGCCTATAAGCCAATTTTGAGGACCAAAACAGCAGTCTGTAGAAGGGGGTCGTCTTATCCATGGGTTACGCCACAAACTTTTTCCAGGGGTAAGAAATCAACATCTTATCACTTCGCAAGCGGAACAAACAACAGAAGACTACTTTGTCAGTAGAGACGCTAAATTTGCAATATAACGTCACTAGACAAGATTGTTTACCTTTTAAGTTATAAGTTGTTTTTGCTGGGCATTGTATTATTTGCAGGGATTAAGATTACCGTATGTGTATTTGTCTCGCATTACACAAAGCGAAATAGCAATCAGCTGTGCACACGCTTTCCGCTTAACAAGTTCAAACATGCACAATAATATAACGGGTAGATGAATTCTGACGCAGTCGTCAGTAAAATATAATACAGAATACTATTATTTACCCAAAGAAATATATCCTAGCATTGTGTAATTTTATTTACAGTTTTTATGTAAAATATATATAATCAACACTAAGGTTATAATGGACCCTCATGAACTTTGTAAGCACATGGAATGGGGTAAAATACGGAAGCCATTTAAATTCACACATTTTACCGATGTTACTGTAAACTAGCAGTCAATGGAAAACGAGGCAGTAATCAGTTCGCGGATTGTTGAATGGGGTAAAATAAGCAAGCCAGTTTGTTGCTACAATAAATATGATATTTAGAGAAGCAAAATATATTATGTATTTTCTGTCAACTACACTTCGCTTCAATCCGCGAGTAGACACAATATGGACCAAAGTTATAATTATTGGTAACTGCCAGTTGTCTGTGGTCTGTGTTTGTCATGATTAGGACCCCATCGCGGGGGATCGAAGCTTATGCAATTTAAACATACCATTTTGACACTGATTTTAAGGGTCAAGTTTGGGGGTCGCCTTATAGACGGGTCATATACGGCACATATCTCCAACCCTATCAATATTATGTTTGAAAAAAAAATCAGCATGCATTTCATTAAGGTGTCAGAGAATTCCTTCAATCCAGGTTTATTCTGTTTGGTTGGATGTTCTACCATGCCATTTTCAAAATCCTTGAGTAATATTTGGTTTTGTCTTTCAGTCTGTGGTTCTCATCAGTCGTCTGCCGTTTGTGTCTCTGTTCAGTCAGCTTGTGGGCATCGTCACGCCTGAGTATTTTGAAAATGGTGAACCCAGTCTAGAAGCAGGTTTGTGGATCTTGTGATTATTTTTTTTTAAATTCAATTTTTTTAATGCTTCAAGGAATGTAAAAATGTTTAGATAAGATTTAACAAATATATTTAATTGTTTGTAATGTGTCAGGGTGCTTAAGGTATCTTTCAGGACAATTATAACTTCATTAGTTTTAAGTCTTTAAAGTGTTTTTCCCTGTTAGGAATCATTTTTCTACAATTTGAACATGGACAGGTCATTGACTCAAGCTGTTTTTCTAAGATGAACAAAAAGTAGTATCAATGGACAAATTTAGAATTCATCTTAAATTTCAAACAGCTTTTGTCATACATGTTTGCCATATCTGTGTATTTGACCATTTATGAAGTCAAGAACTTGCACATGTTAGAAGGAAAAATAGCTTCTTGTCAGTCAGTTGAATTTGTCTGAAAATGTTTCATACTAATGTTTCAAAGTTGCAGCAAATTTAAAATTTGCCAATTACAGAGGACCAAAAAGAGTTTGTAACCTCCATCCTCCTTTGTGATTGAAAGATTTGTTTGCATCCTGGTGTTTACAAATGTTTCAGCTTGTCATGACATTGACCAATGGCCGATGCCGTTGCCAGGCGACACACTGAACCTCCCCATCATGGGGACAGTGATACAGGTATGTTTGTCCTCATCCTCGTCCTGTGCCAGGCTGTTCGAGCAGGGCCATTCCTCTCTAGACCAACACCTGAAATATCAGTGTCTCTGTACCTGACCAACATCTTCTACTGTCATCAGCTGCTATGCTTCAGTTTGTGTTTCTGAAACACCAAAGAGATGGTGATTAATCTCTTCTGCAAAAACAGTCTCCTTTTGACATTCTGGATTTTGCCATGCAACAATAAGCTCCTGCTTTGAAAACAACATCAGTAACAGTTATTTTAGTACATTTATATCAACTGCTTGAACCAGAAGATTTAATATTGCCATAGTGGAGAATTTATGCTTGAACGAGCAAGACTTAATATTGCCACAGTTGAGAAATTATAATTTGAACGAGCAAGACTTAATATTGCCATAGTGGAGAATTTATGCTTGAACGAGCAAGACTTAATATTGCCATAGTGGAGAATTTATGCTTGAACGAGCAAGACTTAATATTGCCATACCGAGAATTTATGCTTGAACGAGGCAAGACTTAATATTGCCATACCGAGAAGTTATGCTTGAGCAGAATGGAGCAAGACTTAATATTGCCATAGTGGAGAATTTATGCTTGAACGAGCAAGACTTAATATTGCCATAGTGGAGAATTTATGCTTGAACGAGCAAGACTTAATATTGCCATAGTGGAGAATTTATGCTTGAACGAGCAAGACTTAATATTGCCATAGTGGACAAATGCTTGAACCAGAAAGAGTTCATTTTGCTAAAGCAGTGAAATTATGCTTGACTAAGAAACATGATTGCTTCTTAATATCACTGTTGCAGTTTAATTATTCTAAAATAATTAGAATCTTTCTGATTTTCTGTCTTGCCCTAGACTTCTAAATCATGCCAATGACAAGTACTGGTAAACATCCAGTGATGGTAGTAATCATTTATTAGTAACTGTTGAGGACTGTAATTCTGGTCCAGTCCTCAATGCTTAAAAATTCAAAGTGAATAAAACTGACAGAATTTGTACACATAGTAAACTCTTTTGTCTCGTTCAAGCAGAACTAGCTACAAATGCTGAGGTGTAGTTAAATAAGGTATGTACTAGACCAATGGACTAGTCCTATGAAAGATGAATTTCTAAGACCACTGAATATGGTATCAGGTACAGTGTGCACTTGGTATAATGATGTTGGTCTTCTCAAGGAGACTCAAACTGCTTCAATCCTGTGGGCTTTAATGCACTTCCTATTGTGATGCTCTGAATTCTGCTTTTCTGTTGTTGACTGGAAATGAAAGTTGTTGATGAATTTCTCTTGGTATTAATGTTATTTATTTTTCAAATCAAGAGATACTGAATTTTATTTTGAGCAATGATTATAATAGTTTGTGCATGCTGAACCTTTGTTTTATTTGTCTCTAGCTGGTCTCAAAAGTTGAAAGTCTGTTTAAAGTCTAAGTGCTATTGTCTGTTCAAGTACATCTATGTATATCAGACCTTTGCTGTGAAAGTCAAAATACATGGATGATCATTGTTCTTTTAATTAGGTGAGGTGAGGTGAAATTGGGTTTAATCGCTGTGCTTGAGAATATTTCGCCATATGGCGGCGATGCATGTGTGTATGTGTATGTGCGGCTGCTTGTATTAGTCCAGACTGAAGCTGGTTTTATAGTGCTAACCCACTGAGATACCACGCCGCAGTGAAGCATGAATACCCCACTCAGACACACATTGTACTGACTCGAAAGCCGACCAGTCCTTGTAGTACCCATTAATGCCGTGTGCCAGGCAGGGACCAACAAGTACCATATTTTAACGTCTTTTGGTATGACGGTTGGGGATGGAACCACGACCTTCCACTCTCTCGGCGGACGCTCTAACCACTACACCACGGAGGCGGTCTCTTTCAATCAAATGATACATATGCTACTCAAAACATGTTAAGGAACACCTGATTTTGACGACAGTCATGATCTTTTCCTTTGACAGTCATTAGTCTACCATGTTTTTTTTGTCAATTTAACAAGGTAAATCTGTCTTAATCTTTTCATGTGACAATAGTGACAGATTTCCTGTATTCATAAAATGAAAAATAGAGTGTTTGATTGACAACTGTCAATAAAGAATGAAATGAACGAATGATGGATATTTACTGAATAGACAACAGCACTTGGTTTGATAGATATTTGAACTGTATCTCCTTGGTAACCAGAAGTATATTTAGACCAGTATGAGAAGTTTCACAACAGCATTACAATGGTAGATCTTGTGTGTGAGGGGCATTACACACTGTAGAATGTTATACCGAAGTAGCACCACAATGTTTTGGAACCATTTAAATTTCTTTAGAAATTCTTAAGAGTTTATTTTTTTACTAGAATGATATGTCAATTGCAAAATGTACATTTCGACCTCTTATAATCGCCTGCATCCACCAAGATGGAATTGAATTGCCAATATGGGTACATGCTGTGAAGTTCATCATTATCTGTATGATACCACACTGACATACTGCTTTACAAGCCATGCTTATGAAGATGCTTCTTGACCTCTGCTGTAATCTGTCCACCTGTGCTATAGTTTATTTCGACCTCTGCTATAGTGTTAGTTGACCTCCGGTGGGGTGTATGTTGACCTGGGCTGTAGTGTATGTCGACCGCCACTGTACTCTATGTCAACCCTCGCTCTAGCCTGTCAACCTCTACTGTAGTCTATGTCGACCCTCGCTCTAGTCTGTCGACCTCCGCTGGTTGATCCCCATTGTAGTGCTGTTGCAGTTTGGGTTGTTTTGTATTTGTTTTGAGTTGCCGTGTTTATGTTTCCCTGTCTAGGTTAGAGTTCCTTGTTGCACTGACAAGGTGATAGGGCAGCCCCAGCCTCGCATCCCCATCCCGGTGAGTCCACTGTGCAGGGGAGATAACTCCTCTCACAGAGTTGTGTGCCCTTGCTAATGGATATCTATAAGTCATGTTTGCAGGCTGAATGCATATTTAAGGAATGGGTTTCTGTTCTTTCATTTATATATTGTTTCTTTTTCTTTCATTCTCTATTATGGTTTTTCTGGCATGTTCAGTAATTATAAAATATAATATTTTTCCTTATCCTGACTCATGCTCTTTTGCTTGTCTTCTCTTCTTGTGAACTTAGTGGAAACACTTGTATCTCCCTAATTGAAGCTCCTTCAATGTAAAATCACTAATTGGTACTCACCACGAAGTTACCCCCTTCCACAAGCTGCTGGAAGCGAGGGCCACCTTCACCCATGTGCCTCACTCTTCCTTCTTAGCCCAGCTGAGCTGGGCGAGCTTTGTGTGTCTCCCGACACTATATCCTTTGATTTATATTTAGTTAGTTACCCTGTATAGACATCTATAGAGGTTTAGCTAGGTATCCTTCAACGATTATATATTGATATTTAGTCGCTTTTCTACAGTTTATTCACGGGGCCGTGTTTGTTTCAGTGGATTACGCTTGATGAAAAGTTTGTACTATTGCAGATTACGGTTTTTATTCTGCTGCTGATCCGCTTTAATATGCCTTAGTTGTACTGCGCCATGTTCATTTTATTCACATTGCAGTTCGCGTACTAATTTATCCAATTCTACCTTTTATTAATATTTACTGCGTTTGGGAGAGACGCTGCAGATAGGTCGCGTATGCAGAGTCTAGTATGACTGATACACCTGAACCCTCGCCAGTCTACTGCTGCTGGTCGACCCCTCCCGTGTGGTATTCCGCTATGAGTGGTGGAGAGGCGAGTCCGCCATCTCCAAGAAGCGTCCCTGCTTCCCCAGACATCCCATCGCCGCGGCCGTAGACTAGAGGTTTTCTACTACATCTCTACAGCCGATTTGGGCCTGTATGATGATCAGCCGATCATCATACCTGATGTACATCAAAAGAATGACCGATGTCGGCAACAGTGATGTCAGCGCAGATCAGCATGCAGCCTGATGTACCAACGCTGATATTCGATGATCTTCCTGAGGGTCCCATCGCTACCAACACTCAACGCAGACGCCGCACACCGGTGGGCAGCGCTGACATCTGAGGGGAAATCAACGGTCTACTAGGACTTTCTCAACCGAGATTGTTCCAGCCGCGAGACCTGGACGCCTACGATGATCAGCCGATCATCATTCCCGACATACGCATACAAGAAGCTGACCGGTGACAGCTACAATGACATCAGCAGAGATCACCATGCAGCCTGATGCCTCTACACTGATGTCGGACCGATATTCCTGTGGACCCCTCCATTAACACCGCAAGAGATTAACACTGCAGATTAACACCGCATTAACACCTCAGAGGCACCCCCGGCCAACGTGAGCAACCAGGGACGATGTCACCTTCGCGAAGGAAGTCACGGACCACCTTGGACGAAGGACCTAGATGTACAGCCTTCGGTAGGCCTTCGGCGGGATAGATCATCACCTTCTTCGGTTTCATCCCTAGATGTGGACTCGGACCATCAGACATCACGGAAGCCTTCGCTGGAAGGTCATATCGTCGCCCCCCGGACCGACGCCCAGAGGAAGCCAGAAGGCATTCGCGAGGACACCTGAATCCAGATCATCATCATCTAGAAGGACATCGAGGGACTACACAAGAGCTTCACTGAAGCTATCAACGCTCTCCTCACAAGTCTCCTCGAGAAAATCAACCCATAGACAAGTTGATCATCAATATCAAGAATAAGAACTACAATCGTGAAATTGGTTCAGTTGAATCCATGACGAGGCGTATGTTCTTGGCCTCCTAAATAGATCTAGAACGATCAATGAGACACTTATCACCAGACTTCAGAATACCCACTTCTGAAGATGATAAGATGATCCACTCGGCCCTACTTATGCAGAACCAGCAAGTCCCAGGCGGAGGGAGAAGCGAAACACGCTCGCCCGATCCTGTTAAACACAGAGGCCGTTCATGGGCAACCGCTCATATATATATATATATATATATATATATATACTAATCGGGTTTGACTTCGATATACCTTCAGCGAAAGGTCGCTAAGGCTAAGTGGCTCCAAGTCTACTTCACCCAGAAGGGATACTGAGAGCTTCAAGTCTCCAGAGTTCACCGAGGAAGTCTCCTCCAAGGTCTCCATATACTAGCCACTCGGCCATATAGCTACTGGCCAGTCCGTTCAAGACATCGCATAAGTTGTCTATCAACTGTATGCCAGATGCCATCTATAAGCCTACTGCGAAGACAATTGCACAGGCTATTTACAACACAGAACGCCGCTGTATTAATTAGTCAACGACGCTTCATAGATCTTCACAGAAATCAACTGTTCCGTGATAGATGGCTAGAATATGCAATCCCGGACGACGATAATAGATTATCTACATGCGTGACCATTACGCATATCTGCAGACGATTCAATATTGAAATTGAACAGCAGCCTTGTTACAGCGAGTATAACTCATAATCGCTAACTTTTCTGAGAAGAAATATGTACAACAAGTTCAGCTTTAATTCTACAATTATGACGATACATTCATGTATACAGTCTACAAGCTGACAACTTGCAAGTTTATTGTACCTTTATATCAGGAAGTTGGAATTAGATTCAAACTGAAGTTACTTTCACGACAGCCAGGAAAAATAACCTACCCAGCATTAATATTACAGAGCGAGGTATTTCACAAAGGTTTCAAGGCGCTTACCATTAACCCTCGAAACACGTGGTCACTCGGGTAACTTCGGAAGCTACGGTGAAGACCGATGATTATGCTAATATCAACGACGGCAAGAAATTATACAAGGTTTTTCCTACTACACCGTGACATCACAGCGCTGGTATTCTACAGAATCAAAATGCCTTGTTCTGATAGGATCATGATGGACAACGACTCCACAGAGGTCGATCTTAATTCACAGTTCAAGACTTACGCCACAAGTGACAACTATATATCAGTGAACGAGCAAGCCTCCTTACAGTCCGGTTAACCTGAACCTTCATGATTGGGCTGCTTTCTTCAGGTTAGAGGCCTCCCCGTCAAGTTAGGGACGAGAGCACGGCAGTCAGGCTAATTTACACAAGATTTTATACAAGGTTTTTCCTACTACACCGGTGACATCACAGCGGGTATTCTAAAGAATCAAAATGCCTTGTTCTGATAGGACTGCTGATGGACAACGACTCCACGCAGAGGTCGATCTTAATTCACAGTTCAAGACTTACGCCACAAGTGACAACTATATATCAGTGAACGAAAGCAAGCCTCCTTACAGTCCGGTTAACCTGAACCTTCATGATTGGGCTGCTTTCTTCAGGTTAGAGGCCTCCCCTGTCAAGTTAGGGACGAGCACGGCAGTCAGGGCGAATTTACATAAAGTTCAACGAGGACAGACACACCTGGTTGTGCACCTACATCGTCAAGAACCTCATGAGCTTAATTACCTAGACGACGGGGATACAAGTTGATCTAAACCCACAGCGTCTCAGACTACAGTTGAATTTAATCATCAAGCTACTAACACAACTGGATGGTTAGTAAACCTACTTAAGCTTCTGATTGGAGAATTAAAGCGGAAATTTCACGCCCAACTTGGGGATCTGAATATAGTACTCCAACACCTCACAAGTGAGGTTTATGAACACGCTTGGATAACATACTTGGGCTCCATGATAATGATGATTCTATCACGATGGCCAGCAAGAGCACTGTAAATTTATCTCCACCGAACCAAACAGGAAGGGAAAATGCAACAGATTATTTCCTCTATATCTTCAACGTAGGCAGAATGAAGTCTCATCGTGCCTATATCTCGGTTGGATCAGAACTGTCATACTATGTGCATACAAGACGGTTGGACCTAATCCGATCCCTACATGAGCTTTAATACTCATGATATTAGAACGTTAACTTCTACAATTGATTTACACAAATGTTTTTTGGAATAATGGAGGGTTTATTTCTGGAGATCCGATATGGTGGTTGCCAACCATTATCTGAGAGATATCACCACCGAGGACGTCTCAGGTATCCACCAATTCGATCCCATGGTCCTCGCACAACAATTGACAGTTCCTCGGAGAAGATAAGTCAATCTTACAGATTTCTACTTATCTTATAACAGTACTAAATAGCTACATGCTATATATAATTTGCTTAAGTTCCTTTTATCATCACAGTACTATGATTATTACATCATACAATATATAAGTTAAGAACTCTACAGAGTTTGTTATTATATATTTACCTTAAGTTAATCATATCTTAAGAGTAGTACTATGGTAACATGATAATGCATTAGCTAACAAACTCTACAGAGTTTTTGGCTATTATATAATAGCTTAAGTTATTTATATCTTAAGCATAGTACTATACTCATATTATAAAAATATATTGGCTATCAAACTCTACGGAGTTTTGCTACATTATATAGGTAGCTTAAACTTATTCATATCTTAAGCTTAGTAATACGTTTATATCATATATATATATTAGCTAACAAACTCTAAAGAGTTTTTGCTATTTGGCTTAAGTGTCATCATATTCTAAGCAATATGGTTATATTATAACATGTATTAGCTAACAAACTCTACAGAGTTTTGCTATTATATATGTAACTTAAAGCCATTCATATCTTAAGCAGTACTATGTTATATCATATAGGTATATTAGCTATCAAAACTCTAAAAGAGGTTTTTGCTATTATATATTTGGCTTAAGTTTCATCATATTTTAAGCTTTTATGGTTTACATTATAACATGTATTAGCTAACAAACTCTCGGAGTTTTTTGCTATTATATATGTAACTTAAGCTTATTCATATCTTAAAGCAGTACTATGTTAATATCATATAGGTATATTAGCTATCAAAACTCTAAAAGAGGTTTTGCTTTATTATATATTTGGCTTAAGTTTCATCATATTTTAAGCTTTATGGTTACATTATAACATGTATTAGCTAACAAACTCTCTGACGGAGTTTTGCTATTATATATGTAGCTTAAGTTTTCCTTCATAAGCTCAATACTAGGTTTATATCATATAAGTATTTTAGCTAACAAACTCTAAAGAGTTTTTTGCTATTATACAATTAGCTTAAAGTTTCATCATATCTTAAGCAGTATGGTTACATTATAAAATGTATTACCTAACAAAACTCGAAATGAGTTTTGCTATTATATATATAGCTTAAGTTTAATCATATCTTAAGCTCAGTACTATGTTTATAACATAAAAGTATATTAGTTAATAAACTCTAAGGAGTTTTTACTATATACATTTAGCTTAAGTCTAAATTTATCTTAAGCTTAGTACTATAGTTACATTATAGATCTATTAGCTAATAAACTCTACAGAGTTTTTGGCTATTATATATGTAGCTTAAGTTAATTATATCTTAAGCACAGTACTATACTCATATATTGTAAAATATATTAGCTAACAAACTCTACAGAGTTTTGCTATTATATATGTAGCTTAAGTTAATTATATTTTAAGCACAGTACTATACTCATATTGTAAAAATATATTAGCTAACAAACTCTACAGAGTTTTGCTATTATATATGTAGCTTAAGTTAATTATATCTTAAGTACAGTACTATACTCATATTGTAAAAATATATTAGCTAACAAACTCTACAGAGTTCTGCTATTATATATGTAGCCAAAGCTTATTCATATCTTAAGCTCAGCATTATATCTATATCATATAAGTATATTAACTAACAAACTCTAAAGAGTTTTGCTATTATATAATTAGCTTAAGTTTAATCATATCTTAAGCTTAGTACTATGTTTATATCTTAAAAGTATTTTAGCTAACAAACTCTAAGGAGTTTATACTAGCATATTAACAAATTTAAGTCTATCAATCTTAAGCATTGTATTAATGTTATATATACTTTATCATAATAAGTACATTGTAATAACCTTTATATGGCAGCTGATAAGTTAGCAGCAGGAATTCATCAGTTCAGTGCCTTTATGAAGTTCCCATAGGGTTATTACAATCATCACAGATCAAATCACTAATTATTAAAATCCAAAGTATTCTGTTACTCCCACCTCCGTTCCAGTAAGATTCTACAAACAAAAGAGCATGAGTCAGGATAAGGAAAAATATGTAATTTTTAGAGTAAAATTGATATTTTATACTTATCCTGACTCATGAGGTCAGCCCTCCCATCCTCCCCACATAACACTTTGGATTTCCCTGTAAATTCAAATGTTGGGCTCAGTATATGAGGAGAGAGTGAGGCACATGGGTGAAGGTGGCGCCCTCGTTTCCCGCGCTTGTGGAAAGGGGGTAACTCGTGGTGAGTACTAATTAGTGATTTTACATTGAAGGGAGCTTCAATTAGGGAGATACAAGTGTTTCCACTAAGTTCGCAAGAAGAAGAAGACAAGCAAAGAGCATGAGTCAGGATAAGTATAAAATATCAATTTTACTCTAAAAATTACATATTTTACTGCATGTGGATAATATTTCCTATAACTAATTGCAAGAGCTGTAAATGGGTGAGATAATCTAACTAACAACAAATGCTAACAGTGAGAAAATTCAAACTTTATTCTATCTTTATTCAAAAGTTAATGTAGTATGATATTATCAATGACACTATTTTCATATCAATAATCTTAAATAATTATTCCTATTAATGATATTTCTGATTATTGATCTCCTTAGCCGACCCTAGTTTATATAGTTTTGATAGCTGAAGGGCTCTGACAGGATGAAATGAAATTACTTAGTACCTGTGTCTCAAAATTTCTCAAACTCTTGAGTACCTGTTTTGAACATTAACATGCACACAACTGACTTATTTTTGTGGGTGTTTTCTGATTGAAAATGCTTCCAAATACAGTAATGTATCTCTGTAACCACTAGAGAACTGATGATGTTTGTTACCTCCCCTGGACGATTCTTTGAGTCAGTCTGAACACAATCTGTTCCATTCTACCAGTCTAAACCTTACATTGCAGTAATTATTTCGTTAGAACGTAGTAGCTACTAACTCTGTTTATAGTTCATCAGGATCCATTTCACTAGTGTAGAATGCTTGTTCCTCTATATTATTATATCCCTTGGGCAGTGGGGTAGCCTATTGGTTAAAGCTTCACCTCTTCAAGCCCAAGACAAGGGATCAATTCCCCCACATGGGTACAATGTGCGAAGCCCATTTCTGGTGTCCCCTGTCAGTGATATTGGAATACTGCTAAAAAGCACACTCATTATTGGCCCTTGCTCTTTGGATAAGTGTATTCGAATTTCTCTCTCATCTTATTTCGGTGCAAGACACCTGTTTCAGCATACAGAAATAACATAACATGTCAGCCTGAATGATTTATTTTGTAGGTTTAGTTAATAAATTGTAGAAAATAACTTTTTAAATAAGTGGAATTGAGGTAATGACTCAATTTTAGATGGTTAATATCGTCTGTAGTTAATTGTCTATTGTTGACAAGAGCAAAACATATCGGATGCATGACATCATATCCAAAATGCTTAGTTCGATGCAAATGACGTCAGTTGTTGGATTGCCATCATGTAGTTCAGCATTACACAAGAAGCAAACAAACTGTATCATGTCAGGAACACCTTGACATTCTGGATTAAGATTGTACAACACCAGGGGCCATGGGATAGCCTAGTGGTTAAAGCTTCTGCTCATCACGCCGAAGATGCGGGTTTCAATTCCCCACATGGGTATAATGTGTGAAGCCCATTTCTGGTGTCCCCTGCCTTGGTATTGCTGGAATATTACTAAAAACTCACTCAGCCACTGTACAACACCAACTTTGTACTGGTATTAAAAGGCAACTGGTCATTGTATCCTAATGGTGTGGATCGTACCTCATAATATCAACCACTAGTTTGTCAGGTCAAGACTTAATTGTTTACACACCTCTGTTTTAATTCTCTGTTAAGTAGTATATTGCTGAAAGTCTTTCAAAACAACACATAAAACTTCATTATTTGAAACAAAATGTTGTTTTGTTTTGACATGTTTTCACTTAAAAACAAGTCTTTAAAGACAACATAAACCTATTTATTTGGATAGGATGCAAAACAACTGTTTACATGCAACTCAGTGGGTAGAAATGTTAACCAAGATTGATCATTTTCTTATTTCTTTAAAACTATTTATCTTCTATTTTTATTCTGATTTTTATTGATACTTAAAAAATGTTTGTATGCAACTTCATACTGATTTTCTATGTTTAATATTTCAGCATGATATTCCAGCGCACACAATCCTGCCTTCATTACATGAAGTTGACATATACAGGTGGGGAACAGAACTTCAGACAGGCATGGTTTATTTATGCAGAAGACGGGGATTATTTTGATTAAATGTTCTTTTTTTTAGAAGCTTAGCCTTGTAAAATAAATGTAAAATTTCTTTAATATTAATAAAACCTGTTTGGTTCCTTTTGGAGTAAATAAAAGCAACAAATCAATGATAATATGTAATCTCTGCCACAAATTGTACATCTTCAAAGAAATGCCTCAGACTAAAATCCAAACTCTCTCTCCGTTAAACCTCATGTTTTCTAGACTTTGTATTGCTTTCCAGAAAAAGTCGAACATCATCTTATTTATACAACCAGCCCATCAAATTTTAGAAGGATATGTAGACAAAAGACACAATAAAATTGTTCCTCGAAATGTCAATTGCTTGACTTGCAAAACAGTGACAGGCTCAGTAAGTCGCCTTGAGATGTCATTTCAGTCAACAGAGAAATTGTAATCAGTAGTTTCATGTCTTTATGGAATTAATGAATTTCCACTTTCAAACCTTTTGTTGGCATAGTTATGTTTTGTATTGCAGTGCATTTCAGTCTATTCTACCTCATATTCAACTGCTGTGGGAACTCGTACTTGTGGGAGAGGTGAGACGTCACAATTTCTTTACTGTCAACCTTTATGTTTTTAATTCATCAATATTTGTTTCACATTGATTCCTTCTCTCAGAGTGTAAATCCAATTTCACTATGTAGTGAAAGGCATCAACAGTGAAAGTATTGAAAATCAGCAGCTTTATTCTTCACATGTCCAAAATTTGGTTTTATGGACTTTATAATCTCTCAACTGGTTGAATTTCAGCACAAATTGTATATTGTATATTGTATACCAATCAAAGCTATTGAAGACCACCTGATTCTGTCATATTACTATTGCTGAACTATAATGCCACGATAGATTAACTGTAGTATTATGAAAGAATGGTGCATGACTTATTTCGAGTATTGACAGATTAACTATTACAATAGTAAAGAATCAGGTGGGCCTTAATTTCTTTTGAGTAGTGTTATATACAAGCACTGTGTTTATAAGTTTATCTGATCATGAACGTGTGATCTGTAAGTACACCATATCTGACAAACAGTAAATAATGAAATAAACAAAATTGAATAAAACATGAATGATCAAAAATGAATGAAACATGTGCCTGATATGAAAGGAACTAGAGGTATCATCACGTTTGTGAGAGTGTTTACTTACGACGATGGTGTTCCGTTTCAGCCCATTGTTGTAATGGCCGCATCTCCCTCCGTCACCAGCAATTGTGTTCAAGCTTTAATCAAGTGAGTGACAGCTCCGTGATTTGGGTTTCAGAAACACTGAAAAAGGCACTGATATTCTTGAAATAGAGCTCTCTAATGAGTTGCAATAGTAGCAGTAAGGTGAACCTGTGTGACACATATATGATGTAATGGGATCGGATGGTCAGCCTCACTGACTTGGTTGACACATGACACATGTATCCTGCTGTTGATCACTGTATTGTCTGGTCCAGACTCGATTATTTACAGACCACCGCCATATAGCTGGAATATTGCTGAGTGTGGCGTTAAAAGACAAACATATATGAGATTTACCAAGGATAGGTAATGTGTGTCAGGAGTTGTAGGGGTGTTTTATTATTACATCAATAACAGCTTTGCCAACTCTACTTTTCACAAATGGGTGATGCATTTTTTACAGATTTTCCTCGCGTGTCTGTTCAATTATGATCACTGTAAAATTACAGTGACATAGGCCTAAGCCCTAAGTTTGAAGCCCATAACATAAATGCTTTTTAAGTGTGTATACATGTGTTTGTAAAATTCCTGTTGGGGGCTGGTTCTTGAATATTTGGCTTTCAAACGTGTAATTCTGGTCGTATATTTTGTTTTACAAATTACTGACTTGACTTTAACCACTTTGTTTTGTTATTTGCAGTTTTATTTTTATGGGTTTTTTAAACACTAATAAACAAACATAATGTAAACCAAAGTGCCTTAAACCCAGGAAATTAAGAATAATGTCGGACTACCAGCCTTGTAGATGTGTCTCATAGCCTAGTAAAACGCTGTGTCCTGTTTCCAGCTTGATAGCCCCCCTACGGTACTGCTCGGACTTCCGGCCATACTTCACAATACACGACAGTGAGTTCAAGGAGTATACCACCAAAGTACAGGCACCGTGAGTACACCTTGGTTTCTTGTACAGTGTTTGGAGCAGGTGTTCTTGTTGAAATATCGGACTGTACCACATCCCTTTTTGTTTTATTTTCACTACATGGGGTTAAGGATTGAACCAGTACTAAAGTTGACCAAAGGGTGCTCTGGTAATTACAAAGTACTTCTATTGCTTACAAAGGCAAAATATTTTTGAAGTCCAATTGTTTTAACTGTTTGCTCAAATTCAAAAACAAAATTCATTCCCATGTCAGTGACAGTTGATAGCACCTTTATTGTAGGAAATCATACAAGATAGAACATTCAGTTTTTGACAAGGTTAAAATATTTGTCCTACATAAGACCACAATAAATTGTCAATATTTTCTTTGTATTTCATGAAAGCTATTTCCCCCATTTATTTTCAGTTAAAAGATATAAGTAGTCACTTCGAGCTATCACTTTATTGAATGACAAAAAAGAGGGCATATTCACTAACTCACTATATTACTAACTTGTGGGAGATACCTCTGCTGGACCCTGTTCTATGGTAACAGAGTTTGTGTGAAGACTTTGCTTGCCGTCTCCATGGCTCTCCTGCTTTTTTCCAGCCCCTCGGTCATCCTGGGAGTGACCAACCCATTCTTTGCCAAGACACTGCAGCACTGGCCCCATATCATCAGGATCGGGGAGATGGGTGGGATAGGTAAGACTGATGTTGCAGCAGGTGCTTGTACTGGGGTACATATCAGGATCGGGGAGATGGGTGGGATAGGTAAGACTGATGTCAGCAGGTGCTTGTACTGGGGTACATATCAGGATCAGGGAGATGGGTGGGATAGGTAAGACTGATGTCAGCAGGTGCTTGTACTGGGGTACATATCAGGATCAGGGAGATGGGTGGGATAGGTAAGACTGATGTTGGCAGGTGCTTGTACTGGGGTACATATCAGGATCGGGGAGATGGGTGGGATAGGTAAGACAGATGTCAGCAGGTGCTTGTACTGGGGTACATATCAGGATCAGGGAGATGGGTGGGATAGGTAAGACTGATGTTGGCAGGTGCTTGTACTGGGGTACATATCAGGATCAGGGAGATGGGTGGGATAGGTAAGACTGATGTCAGCAGGTGCTTGTACTGGGGTACATATCAGGATCGGGGAGATGGGTGGGATAGGTAAGACAGATGTCAGCAGGTGCTTGTACTGGGGTACATATCAGGATTGGGAAGATGGGTGGGATAGGTAAGACAGATGTTGGCAGGTGCTTGTACTGGGGTACATATCAGGATCAGGGAGATGGGTGGGATAGGTAAGACTGATGTCAGCAGGTGCTTGTACTGGGGTACATATCAGGATCGGGAGATGGGTGGGATAGGTAAGACAGATGTCAGCAGGTGCTTGTACTGGGGTACATATCAGGATTGGGAAGATGGGTGGGATAGGTAAGACAGATGTTGGCAGGTGCTTGTATTGGGGTACATATCAGGATTGGGAAGATGGGTGGGATAGGTAAGACTGATGTCAGCAGGTGCTTGTACCAGGTTACTTTTGAGTGTAGTTACACTTCTAATAAAGGTTTGACTTTTCCAAACATTCTGGAAGATGCGAAAGAGATTTTCATTCTCCAACACTGTACATACTATGTATGTTGTGCAAGTGTGAGATGGATTTTTGACTGACTAACTCTCATTCACTTCAGTGTGGTGTCCACAAATGGGTTCAGCCTTTCACTTAATCACACTGGGGCACAACTTAATTACTGTGTCATATTGGATTTTAACATACACATGTTTCAAGGGTTATATGGATCATCTAACCAAAAAAGTACAAAATCAATGTCTTTCATAATTATTTGATGTACACTTAAGGATAAGATTGTGAACCTCATTAAAACCATGGTAGCAGGTTCTCACTTGTATTGAGATATTGGATGGAAGGTGCTTCTGTGGTTTCAGGCAGCTCACCAAAGCCTTTCAACAAATTAAAGAAAGCAAGTGCCCTGAAGACCTTGGACTCTAAACCAGGTGAGCTACATTGTTTGCCCCAGGTGGTAGTTTTCATCTTTACCAGGTGAACTACATTGTCCCAGCTGGTATTTGTCATCTTTACCAGGTGAGCTACAATGCCCCAGATGGTAGTTGTCACCTTTACCAGGTGAGCTACATTGCTCTAGGTGGTAGTTATCATCTTTACCAGGTGAGCTACATTGCTCTAGGTGGTAGTTATCATCTTTACCAGGTGAGCTACATTGCTCTAGGTGGTAGTTGTCACCTTTACCAGGTGAGCTACATTGCTCTAGGTGGTAGTTGTCATCTTTACCAGGTGAGCTACATTGCCCCAGGTGGTAGTTGTCACATTTAGCAGTGGATGCAAGATCATTCAAGTGATGTGACATTATGCTGCCTACTTTATATATTGATCCATACCATGATTACTTGAGTCACAGACTCGTGAAGATCTGGGTTTGAATTGGTCTTCAGTAACCCATCCTTGTCATAAGAGGCCACTAATTAGGTGGTCTGGCTCACTGAATTGGTTGACACATATCATCAAATCCCAATTACGCAGATCGATGTTCATGCTGTTGATCACTGGATTGTCTGGCCCAGACTCGATTATTCACAGACTGCCGCCATATAGCTGGAATATTTGGCATTAAACAACAAACCAACCAACTTGAGTCAACATAAGTGATTCTTACTTGGCATGTGTTTTCTTGTTTGGTAACAAAAGATTTTTGCTTTAAAATGTTTATTATGTAATCACATTTAGTATTTTGTTCTGTGCCCATGAATTAATGTATTACAAGGCATCGTGTTTTAGGATTTAGAAAATCCACACCCACTTCCTTTTCAAAAAGAAGGTTATATGTTTGATGTTCTGTGGCCTTGAGTACGTGAATGCTCCACATTGATTTGTTGGTGTGTAATGATGAACATACCTGCTTTATGTTTGTAGGTGTGTACACGCGATACAAAGCCTTCTTGAGCAAAGACAAGGCAATACTTAAGAGACTCCTAAAGGTAAGTGGTTACAGTTCAAAAAAATTATTTTGACACAAACTTTACTCTTTCAGTAATTAGAGACCTGTGAAGGTCCGGGTTAGAATTGATTTTCAGAAACCCATGCTTGTCGTAAGAGGCAACTAACGGGATCGGGTGGTCAGGCTCGCTGACTGGGTTGACACATGTCATCGTATCCCAATTGCGTAGATTGATGTTCATGCTGTTGATCCCTGGATTGTCTGATGCAGACTCGATTATTTACAGACCATCGCCATATGGCTGGAATATTGCTATTGCTCACTCACTTTCAGCAATTAGAAAATTAGCAATTAGCGATTAGAAACTGTTTTCAAAGCATAAGTTAGAGTTCGAAATGAGTTGCTTCCCTTTGACTTGCCCGAAACCTTGGATCATAGGTTCAAATCCCAAATCCACTCTGACTAAGTCTGTCAGTATTCCCTTGCTTGAAGGTTGGACTGAAGTTGTAAAAATCTAGGACATGCGTTTCTTCAGACATTTCTACCATATTAACTTCTACAACTGAAATCCTGTTCAATGCCATGCTGAACCACACCCACCTGTCAGCTGATCTGTTTTTGGTTATGTGTGTTGCAGGGACAGATGCATCGACCTGTGGAGGCCCAGAACGCCATCCTGCGCCGCCATTACCTAGAGCTAACACAAAGCTTCATGATCCCCTTGGTACGTTGCTGAAGAATCATGTCATATAGTCTCCAAAACTGTGCCAGGGCCCCCTTTATGTGTACATCATCTTTTGTCCTTCAAGTGTGGTTGAAAGTGTGTCATGAAATATTTCTATATGCCGTAAATATTTAAAGAAAGTTTTTCCTCACTACAAAAAAATACTGAAATATTTCTATGTACTGTGGAAATTAAAAGTAAATATGTATTCACTTCAAAGAAATACCATTTAATACCCAGCTATTTGTTCAATATGCTATTTTTGTCTCTGACATTTCTGTTTTGGGGAATTATTGTCTTAACATCATGCATTACTTGGAATGAAACTGTGGAATAATCATTCAATGGCGTTTGTGGATTAATCTTAATCACCCATGTAGTTGATTGGTTGGTCATGTTTAATAATGCTTTTATTCAATGGCACGTTATATTGATCGTGAATTCAATCACTGGTTTTTCTGGTCCAGAGTGTATTATTCACAGGCTCTTAGAGCTGGAATATTGCTGAACAGGGTTTTTAACATACAGACAACAGTCCATACTTCCATGCTGAATGTCCTGGGCTTCTGCAACCAGGGTGCCGTGACCGTGAACTCCCATAGCTTAGCATAAACTTAAAGTAGCCTTAGCGCTAAGGTTGTTTTGTACAACGGCACCCTGGACTATTTGTTCTGGACTTGATTATTTACAGAACCCGAGGTAATATAGCTGGAACATTGCTGTGTTCCGTGTTAAACATCAAGCAAACAAATTGTAGATAGTCAAGCACTGATAGAATCATTCATCTGCATTGTATCGTGTTTCCAGGAACGGTACATGGCAAGTCTCATGCCCCTACAGAGAAATATCTCACCTCACAAGGTAGGCAAATACAGGTTATATACACTCTGCCCAAACTTCATGGAAAGAATTTCAAGAGCATTAACATCTTAGCCTTGATTGCTTTTTGCTATGTTTCTGAAATGATAAAACATCAGGGAAGAACCTTCAGTGCCATTTATTGGTTTTGTCGTTATGAACACTCTTGATACTTGATACTGTCCATGTTACAATACTATTCCCCGCCATGATATTGCTGGAGTATTGCTAAAAGCGGGGTGTAAAACTAAACTCACTCACTCACCCACTACAATACTATTCTCCTCCTCAGGCGCCACCTCATCTACGACCTTTTGACCCTGATGAGTTTCTTCGGACAGTGGAGACTTCAGGGCCACAACTGACGTCAGGCACCAAGGGAGACTGGGAGGGGCTGTACAGGTGGGGGGTACAACTCTTCTTGTCAACTGACCATAATGATTGAAACAACAGAGGCTGTATGTAATTACCTATGTTCTGAGATGGTAAAATGTGAAGATGTGGTTTCTTGCAATGGATTAACATCATCAGAGTCACAAACAATTAACATTATCACATCCTCAAAAAAATTACAATCAACAAAGTTTCAGCACTTAACATCATCACTAGACTAATTGGATGATGGTGTCTCCTGCCATAATATTGTTGGAATATTGCTGAAGGAATGTAAGGTCAGACTCGCCCGCCACTCCTTCACTCACTCACACAATCACACAATCACCCACTCACTCATGTCGTGTTCCATTACAGGCGTTACTTCCGATCACCCAACTTCGAGGGCTGGTATTTTGAGAGGCAGCAAGAGGTCAACAAGAAGCTACAGATTCTCCACATGGATGTGCTGTGTAGTGCGGTCAGTATTGCCCTATAATGGGTTCCACAAGAGTAGTTGGTCTCACACCTGCTTCACTTCATGGATCCCTCCCACATAAAAGGGGCATGGTTAAAACATTTACTCGTCACGCCAAAGACCCGGGTTTGATTCCCCAAATGGGTACAGTGTGTGAAGCCCATTTCTGGTATCCCTCCCTGACTTTGCTGAAATATTGCCAAAAACGGTTAAAACTAAACTCACTCATTCACTCACTCACCCACATTAAGCTGTGATATAAATGGAACACTGTTTAAAGTTGTATTGAACCTCACTTAATATTATCTTGCTATATAGTGTATTATAACTGATGTCCTGTTCAGAAGCACCACATAACAAACATCTGCTAATTGTTATATTTACCACTGAAGAATTATAATATATATTACTTGGCTGCAGTAGCTAGCAGCAGTATCAGTCAGAAAAAGAAGGCTAACTTTTTCTCTTATCCTATCATGACTACATCTCTACATTAGTTTAATTTTGACATCTCACCCAAAGTTTTGAGAGAAATTGGTAAATCAGGTTTATGATCTGTGAGCGAGTGTAGCACCTCATATTCCCTGTGTTTGATGTCTCCATGTGTGTGTACAGAACCTGGTGGACTGGGTCGCTGACAAGGAGGAAGTGGAGGTGGTGGATCTCATACTCCGGCTCCGAGAAAAGATGGTAGGTGTCAATGGCATAGAAAACATGATTGATTAATACATTAAGCTTCTGGCAAAACCACGACTATGTGTATGATGGTGACTGAACAAAGACCATGACCAACACAAATGTGAGAACTGAAATCTGTGCCCAGTGGATGGAGATGATCTTGGGATGCAAGGCCATTTGTGCCTATATGAAAAAAAACACAAAATCGGGCATTTCTGCAAACCTCTCTCCCTTACAGTGGGGTAGCCTAGTGGTTAAAGCGTTCTCTTGTCACGCCAAAGACCAAGGTTTGATTCCTCTTTCTGGTGTCCCCTGCCGTGATATTGCTGTAAATTTTGCTAAAAGTGGCATAAAACTAAATTCACTCACTCACTCTTACTAAGTGTACACACTGTAAATACCCGTGAAGATCAGGGTTAGAATGAGCCTTCAGTAACCCATGCTTGTCGTAAGAGGCTGACTAAGGGGATCGGGTGGTCAGGCTCTCTGGCTTGGTTGACACATGTCATCGGTTCCCAATTGCACAGATCGGTGCTCATGCTTTTGATCACTGGATTGTCTGGTCCAGACTCGATTATTTACAGACCGCCGCCATATAGCTGGAATATTGCTGAGTGCTGTGTAAAACTAAACTCACTCACTCATACATTGTACATGGCTGAAATGTTCAAATTTCTCCTAATTACACACAAAGAAATTTCTTTGGTGTTTTTCAGGACATTTTGTCATGGATTTGTGCTTGTTCATATGCTTGTTCTCAGTTTTGCAATTTAAAATTGTTTCTGTATTACAGAACTGTGTTTACATTGTTTTGTCATCCACAGTCTGTCAATCTTTCACAGTAACTGAACCTTTCTATTTTTCCCTTGTAGAAATTTGCTGGAAACAATCAGCTAATTGTGGCAAAGGACAGTATACAGAAGCTCCAATCTCATCTAGACTCCATCATCACTTCTCTCCCAGAAGATCTGCAGGTTGTTCTCAAGACATGACCTTCACCTTCATAGTAGGACAAGGTCATAATGGGTGTGCCATGCAGGCTACGTCGACCTCTATGAGGTCAGAGTTCACCTCTAGGCATCGCGGTGCAGACGCCAAACCTCAGCTATGGGTGTGTGACATGTGACATCTGTGTGACAACTACTGATGCCTGAATGAAAAACAACACAACGCCTGCAATGATTTCAGCGCCAAAACACCATCAAACCAACAGAAAGAAGGTTGTGTCCAAGAGTGCTACTCATTAGCTGGGACTTTATATCATTCCCAGAGTCAGAATCATTTCCATTTTGCCTTCATTGTTTGTGCCTCTGTCACGTTAGGTCACAGGTAGTCTAGCCTAATGACATGAGGTGGATCAGAGTCTTATCAATGTTCATAGGTCAAACAGTATACTGACTAGTACAACTAGTATGCATGACTTGGAACATAGAATTGCTCCTTATAATTAAAATGGTCAACTCTACACATGGCAGTGAAAAAAACAAGCATAATGACCAAGATGAAGTTTGTACCCAAAGAAGTGATAGATGAATGTGCAATACAGTTTTTCCAGTGAGCATTTCTCAGTGTCAGAATCAGTAGCTAGGGGAACAGCTTCTGGACTGCTGGACAAACCAAATAAGGAGTTACTCTCAGAGTTGGCATAATCCAGTGCAATCAGGAATCTATTCAACTGCAACGAGGGGCATAGTGGAGGAGTACCGGTACCTCCTTATTCAAGGAGTTTAAGAAATTTGGTTTGTCATAATTAAGTTTTGCGATTTTAACTCATGTGAAATGATAATTGGTTTTAGTTTGAAACCCAGGATTTTATTCAACGAAGATGATGACAAAAACATTGAAAGGGAAGATAATTGTTGTTGTTTTTAATTTTTAACCACTGTTTTATAAACTATTGATATTCTTAGAAAACAAGAAATTAATGAATCTTTATGAAAGATATTGTAACAAAATAATAGTTTGAATGAAATATTTTCACATCTGACGTGTTAAACACAAATATATTTTGAATTTTAAATATCACTTTCAGAATTTATCAGGGTTTTTAAAGGGTATTTATTCATCTGTCACAATAAAATCAGGGTCAATGTTTACAGAAACAAAATATTCAGGATCTGAAGTTATCTAATTGATTCAGGTGTTTTTAATTGAATGATTAAGGGAAAACTTCCTCAGAGGACATGACAATAAATATCATCATGTCATCGTGATCATGGTCTCATTCTCATTGTTAAGTGTGAGTGATTTATAATCTGATACACTGGTTCTAGTATTACATTCAAGTTTTCCATGTGATGTGAAGTGTACATTAATATCATTATATTTTATGTATTTAGTACTTACATGGTGGAGTCGTCTCAGATTGTTATATTTAAACGTTTTTTCATGTTTGGGTGCTCTGCAATCTCTCATGTCCCAATCAAACAGATTTGCAAAGAGCAGATTTTGTAACAGTTATCTCCCTTCACTTGCCAGGAATTGCTTGGTTTAAATCCCACTTGTAAAATTGTAAAGCCTGGTTTCTAGTGTCTATTTCCATTCATTTTTCTGTTAGAATTGAAATGAAACCCATTGTGTATGGCAGTCCAGGTTATATATATTTTCAGTTTGTTATGTTGTGAAAATGTTTGATATCAAGAGACCTAAAGACAGTTCTCTGAACCTTGAGGTTTACTGGTGCTTGAGAGGCTAACAGGTGCTTGAAAGAGAATGATTATCAGCTACTTGAAGGCTAACAGGTGTTTGAAAGAGGCTAATTTGATGGATGCCTGTAAGGCTAACAGGTGCTTGAAAGAGCGTAATTATCAGCTACCTGAAGGCTAACAGGTGCAAAGCTTATTTAAAAGATGCCTGTAAGGCTAACAGTTGTGTAATTATCAAACAGGTGTTTGAAAGCTAATTTAATGGATGCCTGTAAGGCTAACAGGTGCTTGAAAGAGCGTAATTATCAGCTACCTGAAGGCTAACAGGTGCTTGAAAGAGTGTAATTATCAGCTACTTGAAGGCTAACAGGTGCTTGAAAGAGTAATTACAGCTACTTGAAGGCTAACAGGTGCTTGAAAGAGTGTAATTATCAGCTACTTGAAGGCTAACAGGTGCTTGTGAGGCTTAATGGAGGCTAAGACACTAACAGGGCCAACAGATGCTTGAAAGGCTAACAGGTGCTTGAGAGATTACAGAGCACTATTTTCTCCACATCTTTGTGCTCTGGAGTTATCATGGTTACATCACACATCCCCGCACAACTTAATTCTTCTCCATCAGTCAGGAATCTCACTGGATAGTTTGCAGATATTCTTGAAGAAGCCTACTGTTTTGTTTCCAACAATGATTTTGAATTTTCATGGACTTAAATGAATTGCAGCATCAGCTTTGTATTTGTACAACCAGTGCATTTGGTGTGTGCGGTTCATTTGTTTGAGATACATGGACAGCTTAGAGGCACTTCAAACTGCAGTCACCATTTTGTTAATAAACCTTTGTAATATTGACCCATCCCATTCAAACTGAAGTTGAGCTATGTTCATTTCTTTATTTGATCATGACTATCTGTTTTGTGTGGATTCATCAACTTACACGGAGAGCAAAATTCTAAAATGAGTCTTTAGGGCAAGAGCAATGTTTGCTGTTCTTTCATGGATGAGCCTTTTTTGTATTTAAAAAATTACAAAGTTACTTATTAACATATTGTGTTAGGTTGTAAGTACTGGAATGCTTGTTTTGAACAGCTTCAGTATTTACACTGAACCCCAAATGTTAGGAATATATTTTACGTAACTTTATGAAATCATCCTTTTTCCAAAAATGGTCCCCAAAATAGTCATGATCCTTACTTAACTTGTTCAGTACATTTATCAGATACCTAAATCAACTCGGACAAAAGTTTGGCTTTGCCCCTAGATTTTGACATATCTGTTGATCAGTTGACTGTGTGAAGGTAGAAATTCTGTTGTCCTACCCAGGATGTGATGTTTTCCAATGTCAAATCAACCCAAAACAGCTTTGTAATTAACTGAGGATCCTCACCATTCTGTTGATCTGTGATCTTCCTCTGGTGTGCTGTGACGGAAATTGTTGTACATTGTTCTATGAATCAGCATTGTTAGAGTGTGTGACATTGTCTCCTTCCCGGGAAGATTTTCAGGAAAGAAAATTTGCTGTCGTCGATAAGTTGGTATGTAATGTAAATGTAATCTCAAATGAACGGATATTTGATAGAAGGTGCTATGTTGAAAAGTTTCGTCAGGCTAAAAGTTTCATAACAAAAATAAAGACATTTTCATTATGATTGAGATGATGGCATTATAAGATGAGATTAGAAACTGACTAGAGTGCCTATTGCCGTACATACTGTGAGCTCTTTAAGTTTGTATTAGTGAATGAAACTCAAATTTGGAAACTATGGTTGATCAGAGATTGAAACTTTTCAAAAAGAGGCTTAATAATTAAATCAAATTTTCCCTCTTATGACAAAATGCTTGTTCATGAAAAATGTTTTCCTGACCTTTCCAAATCACCAAATGTTTCCGGGAAAAAATTATTTTCAGCTGACAGAGCATTCATTCATTAATAAAACTTATTGTTGATTTAATACTTTTGAGAAAACAGTCATGTTATTCTCCACCATTACTGGCTGAAACTGTTCCCTTCCTCATTTAATCAGATCTTTAATGATGCTACCTTTGCACGTGAAGATCTGAACACCTCTCTATAAGAGGTCATGCCTGATGAACTTTCGAAGCAGCCAATCAGGATCGATTTTAATTGTCTTAACAAATTAAAGAAGCCTTCAAACCAGCATGTCAGATGTGTGTCTTGAAACTAATCAACATGTTCTGAAGAAAGATGCCATTTCATCATATTGCTGTGAAAGCTTGTATAGACTTCCGACAGTAGTAGCACTAGTATATAATGCCCTTGAGGATCAGGGTTCTGTTGCACAGAGTGATCAAAATACTACAACAATCGTATCTCCTATAATTTAAAGTGAAATATTGACAGCTGAAGCTGTGATCATTTTGCGAGACAGATCCCTGGGTGCCTTTTTGCAAAAAACCTTAGCGCTACGATTGTCGTAAGTCTGTGTTAAGTATGCGAGTTACGATCACCTAAGGGCGAAGATTGTTTTATAAAATGGCAGCCAAATCCTCAAAAGCATCATTATCATGAAACCAAGGTAGGATTTGCTATTCTGACATTTAAATGAGCACATAATTTGATATTTATTTGACTGAACACGAAATTTGCTAATGTGACACTGACATTAGCCTCCATTGTACAGTTGTCACATATCGCAAGAGGTAGAGGCAATATGCACTTCAGTCATCTGGACAAGGAAACATTCATCTTGAATATTTATTGTTCTCATGTGCAATTTTCAGTATTTTATCATCTTTGTCATTTTATCACCATTGTTCTTCGTTATGTCTATAATGAGTGCTTGTTTACCGTGTGAGTGTGTGATTGGAACATTTAGAGAAGTTTTTCTTCTTCTGAATGTTTTTAGGGTTTTATTTATAAGTTTTTAATTCATGGCTATGAAAACAGTGAGAGCCTTTAGGTGACGCTTAGTATTCACTAGATGCTCGTGAAATATTTTTGTAAATAAATTAAGAAATAATGTTGATCAACTGCAAAGACCAGATTAATTGTTTTTCTTTTGCATCTCTGATTATAGGCTGTAGAACTTTTTTTTTTCTATGAATATTTGTCAGCAATAGTTTGATGGATTTAGCAATGTGTTGTTACCATGGTAACTGTCACACTCACATTTCTGGTTTTTGTATGAATCAAGTATTCAAAATAATGAATGAACAATTTCGTCTCATTAGTTTTAATAACATAATTAAAGCATTTAGACAGTTTAAAAAATCATTGAATTTGTGAGTAAATAATGTTGTCAGGGAATATTATACATGATTTCCTGTACCCTCTATTGCGAGGGAGCTATATCAAAACAGGGAACAGGCTTTTTCTCCTTGTTTCAAAATTTAAATGAGGAATCTTTGGTCTGATTTCATCAACTAATCATAACCAATATGAGTGTTGTACAGTTACCAATATGTGTTTCCTAGCAATGCCATTATTTGGAACCCATATATAATCTGTCATCCATCACTTCATAACATACACCCCAGAACTATGGCCAAAAAGAGGTGCATTACGTTGACTCTAACCGATTTTAAGTCCTTTAAAACAATAGAAGACAAATTTGAAGTCATGAGCGACAACATTTGTTATTAAGTTATTATTTTGTGATGAAAAATTCTTGGCACTGATTTCTTCTTTTAACAGAAGTGTTTGGATACAGTACAAAAGAATTTGAATTTTTAAAATCTTTTTTAGTCACAAGAGTAAATAGAATAATGAAGTAGTATTTCAAGTTGATTGCCTTTAGTAGTGATGTTTGGTTGCCAAACTGCCTGTATTGTACACACACTCAAGTGCATATATTGTGTCACGAAGTTTTACTTCTCAGCTTTAAGTATTTTTGTGATATATATTTTTTATACAAATGTGTTTTGACAATGTGCTTGCTCTCCCGAGCCAATCATGTTTATAATCATTCTTAGCATAAAGTTAAAGTGTAAATTTGTTACAGTTTTCAAGAGCTAGAGATTTTCTATCTAAATGAAAATCATGAATAAAAGTTGTTCCAGGACCAATTTCACATTGAAAAATTAATCTTTTTAGAAATATTAAACTATTAAACTCACCTTTATCATTTGACATGAAAATAGATTTGATGATATAATGCCACAATCCATCATTATACCTTGTCAAAGTTAAAATTTTGAAATTTCACTAAATTTTTACATTTTTTGTAAGGACATAAATTATGGCTGAACAAGGAAATGCATTTAGAAATTTGTCATTATTGCAGGTCTGCAAGCATTCAGTCAGTAGGTTGCAATACATGTTAAGTCGTGTTGTTTGTCAGCAGTTGGTCCTCGCCAAAGCCTTGATCACGGTCCTTACTTGTATCAGTGGGTTGTCCTTGTCCCATTATCTTCAGTGAGTGTAGTAGACCTCAATGCTTTCACTTCTTGTTTCACTAATGTATTTGGGTCAGTGGGGTAGCCCAGTGGTCAAAGTGTTTGCCCATCATGCCAAAAACCTAGGTTTGATTCCCCACATGGGTACAATACGTGAAACCCATTTCTGGTGTCCCCAGCCGTGATATTGCTGGAATATTGATAAAAGAGGTGTAAAACTAATCTCACTCACTCACTAATGTTTTACTCGCATTCTTACGAATCAGCTCCACAGTCAGCTGCGAGTCCTTTGGGTGTGAGGGAATCCTATGGTTCTTGGTTTGTTGGACTATATTTATATTGGTGGGTTGGTTAATCCAGTGTTGTATATGTCTGAAACCAGCATCAGGCTTATGTGCCCAGATATCAAGTATTGTTCAAAGCAGTGAGAAAGTAAATGCCCTCACTCATGCTGCTCACAGTTGTGATGTTTCTGTAGGAGCAAGTGACATTGGGCATTAATATCCAAGATGACCTCAGACTGAAGTGTGACAAAGTAGTGGTCAACTGCAGTTTGTATTTTCTACAGAAACTGTGGCAACCTTGATCCCTTTTGGTAAATTTTACCTGATGGTGTTTGAACGTTTGTCAGGACAAACCCCTTGTTTTTGGTTTCAAAGTGGTCAATATCTAAGACCTGAATCTCTTGTAACTTTCCCCTTCAAGTCTATAACAGAAGTACTGTACACAGCAGCATGAAACCAAACTCACTCACTCACTCCCGGCAGTAAATTTTCTTGATTTTCTTGACTATTAATATTTCAGAGCAGGTTCTGAAGGGAAACTAATGTTGCAAGTTCATCATGGCTATATCTAAGTTGAAACCCTAATTACGATTCATTTTGCAATATTTGACTGACTAACTGTGGGATGGGGAGTGTGTCTTGCATTTTGTGTCTTGTATTGATGCAGACAAAGCATTGTGTTTGATATAGTTGCATGAAAACTCACAGTGTATTGTTTCACCCCTAATCATATTCAAGGGCAGATAACTGTGATCATGTATCATCAAGTGAGGCTCGATGACACAACCATAGCACAACTTGCAGTCCCAGTTAACACACATCATATTGTTGACAATGAAGAAATGTCTAATACAGACTTGAATCCTTGGCATTTGATGCAACACCTCTAGTAGTGTCACACCTTAAGGTCTTGGGTGCCATTCCACGAAGGGATCCTAGCGCAGTCGATGCCTGACTTCAGTTTAGTCTTATGACAATCTGCCACTAAGATCACTTTGTGAAAGGGCATTCAGATGTTTATACACTTGGCTCAAATACTTAATAGGTGGGTAGGAGTCTGTAGTTTATTAGATTTTGATAGTTTAGCATAAAAGACACATCCTCGGGTAAGTTACGCACAGGGTAACAGGGTGATACAGGTCAGGAGTTTTACAAGAACATAGTTTTAGTTTACAGGGTGACGAGGGCCTTGTCCAAGCCATAAGCACATGCACAAGCACATATTTTCAATTGAACTTTGTATTGCAAAGAATTTTCATATTTTTCTATAAAAAGGTGACATGTCGTTGTTGTTTTCAGTCAGATAGTTGTCATAGAGGAACATCGTGAGTTCAAACCTACCGGTATATTGTTTGAGAAGTATCAGTCATGACATTTTCAGACATTTGTACTGAAATTTGTTTTTAGCAAATTGCATGACTATTCATAAAGGTCTTAGCATTCTTGTTCTGTTGTCTAGGAAATGTATTTTCCAAAGTACTCTTCACTAAAGTCCTGGAGAGAAATGTCTTATTCTCAGGAGGGGTAGCCTAGTGGTTAAAGTGTTAACTCGTAACACCTAAACCCCAGGTTCAGATCCCTGCATTGTTAAAATATGTGGAGTCCATTTCTGGCGTCACTCGTCCTGGTATTGCTGGAAGGAGGCTTAAACCAGCATAATACCATACTCACTCAGCCACTCAGAAAAATAGGGTGCTGTAGATCCAAAATATGTGTATGTCTTGAACTGCTGGCAAAAAAAAGTATCCTGTCAACAGAATCCCTATCTGTCTTAGAATGTTATTAAATTGTTGATCAGAAATTGTATACAAAGTTGCAGTCATCAGGGACCTGGGCCCTGTGCTTTGAGTGACCTCAGGGCTAAGTTGTCTTAACCCTATGTCAAAGTATGGGATCTGGATCTTCTTGGCTGTAAGATCACAGTGTGGAACAAGGCCCAGGACCACAAAGTGACTGCAAAGCTTGACAGTTCTTGATAAGGTGTAAGTGACAAGGTGCAACAATTAGTTAGTAACGTAATAGGCAGTGATGAAAACACCTAATTTTTAGGACCAGTTGGATTGTCATGGTTTTGAAACCTGACAGTCAACATCATTTTTTAGTGTTATATGAATAAACAGTTTGCCTGAAGCCTTTTGCTTGTAGCATACTCTAGAAACTCTCGCTTTGGCAATCATGTTGGTCATAATAGAGAGACATATTCATGTGGAATATGAGCTGCTCTCCATCGATAATATTTATGTCATGTGTTGGTATATTTTAACTTAAGGAGTGAATGAACTGTGAGAATGGTTTCAATATGAAAATAAACATTTTAAGATAGTATCTTTGTTTTTGTTTATTTGTGATATTTTGGTGTTTGTGTTAATATTATCTTCACAAACAACACTTGGATGTTTGTATCAATATCATCTTTACAATCAACACCTGTGTGTTTGTATGACACATGTCATCGTATCCCAGTTGCAAAGATTAATGCTCATGCTGTTGATCACTGGATTGTCTGGTCCAGACTGGATTATTTACAGACTCACAGAGTATAGCTGGATTATTGCTCAGTGCGGTGTTAAACAACAAACCAACCTATTAGTTTGCAAACCATCACCTTGGAAGTTTGTATTACTATACTCACGAAAAAGGACCACTTTCGACTTTGTATTTCAAATTATATATACGGACAACAAAGAGCATTAAATTTTGTAATTATCTACATTTACTATGATGTCATACCTGCGTCAAAGTGAGCAGTCTTATGTCAATGTAGGACTAAGCCTACCACACTGATCATCTATGTCAGGAGACCTGAGTTGTATGCAGAGTACGAAATACCCACTTACCCAATGGCCCAATGGCCCGTGGCTTGTAAAAATCCAGTCGGACCAGACTAGTGAATTTTCATGGGGTAATTTTGTAAATATATCACTCTCTCCGATTTGTTAAGTTATAATACACTTTTAAATCATGCAAAATTGTTGCCTGATATAAATGTTCATCATATTTGTAGTTTAATGATGAAACTCGGGCCTACATTCAAATTTCGGGCTAGTGAATTATTTTGAGGGCAAGTAACTTTCAGGCATAGCTAGCGAGACTGGCCACCAAATTTTGGAAACTATTTCGCACACTGATTGGGGATAACCAGTCCCGTCATTGTATTGGAAGAAGGTCGTACTTTGAGACTCTCATTCTTATCCACATTGGTAAACGTTCGTTACTTTTAAACTACATACGCAGATGGTATACATAGGTACATAGAACTATTGGGATCTAGTCAAATGGGCCGAAGGACAAAAGGGCCGAGAAGTGCCTAGTGAAATGGGCCGATGGAAACGTCAAATGGGCCGTGGTGAAAGTCAAATGGGCCCTGAAAAAAAGTCAAAAGGGCCTTATTCTTAGTCATATGGGCCGAACCAAAAAAGAGTATCACAAATGTTTTTTCATTTTAAACAACAGAAGTTGTTATCCATAACATTTGTTTTGTTCATTTCCAAATTCATATGTACGATTTACACCGAGTTGCTTTCGTGAACTGTACAACGCAGTAAAGACATATTTGTTACCCTGCCTGATCTTTGATCAATATGTGTATGAATTTTGTACTATCACAGGAACAGAACAGTTAATATAAACGCCTATATAATAATTATGAATTAACAATTCCGGCACCCACACCGTCTGTAAAATTATTATTATAGGATATTTATAAAGCGCACATATCCACGCACTGGTGCATGCTCAAGGCGCTGGTATTTTTTCCCTCGATCATTGGATGTCAATCTCAACGGCACATCGCATTATCAATCTCAACTCCCTGGGGAGTATACAACTCTTGCAGCCACTAGGCGCACCGAGTTATTGTGGCTTTCTCATCCTAACGAGGTACCCATTCACAGCTGGGTGGACTGGGACACATAGTCACAGTACTTTGTCCATGTTCACTGCACGTTGCTGTACCCGCAACTAGGTGTTTGCACGTATTCATGTGGCCACCATCTGGTCAAATACCAACAGTTACTCAAATACTCCAACAGTTTGTTGTTTAAAGCAGCAATCAGCAACGTACGGCGGTCTGTAAAGACTCGAATCTGGACAATCAAGTGATTGACATCTGACTATACAAGCACTGGTTGCTGAAGACAAATTCAAAGGTTAACTGTACTGTTGAAATAGCTTCATATTTGTACAAATCTTCCTGAATAAACATGATTGTTAGAAAACTATACTCTTGGAAAAAAGACCCAAACTAATCACGTTTAAAATTACCCTAATTCTCACAAAGTGAGGGACTAAAGCACTCATGTAGTGACGGCTTTGTCTGTTGTTTGAAAGTGGAAAAAAACACAGTAGCAATTCCTCTCAAGGAAAGTTAGGAAACAAAAGGCACAACAAATATTTCAGAATAGTGAAAAAAAACAGTTGTCTGGTTAAAACAAAGCCGACACTGTTTGTGAGCCATTTGTGGGTTCTGTTCCGGAAACAGACTCGACCTACATCTGAATGAAGTCTAGCTACTTTGCCTTCGAAAAACAAAATCGAAAACTTTAATATGATAAAAGGCAAAGATACTACTCCCGCACTTTCCCCCCGCCATTTTATTTATTTTTTGTTTGCCCACACTACAGAGACAGCATAAGGACTCACCATAAACTCTCAGGATCGTGCCTGCTTTTACTTCGGGAGGGTTTAGGATTTTGCCTACCATATTCACTGTAAACAAATCTGACAGCGAGCTGATTTCTTCACTTTTTACATTAAGGATCATTTTAGGATGTTTTAAAGTTTCAGTGTATTTAACGTAGAGGAGACATAAGTGACTGTGTCGATTTGATTCGCTGTGTTTTACTTTCAGTGGTGACTGTGATTTTGAAGCTGAGTCGTCTCTTTTGTCTTGTCTGGCATGAAAACATTCTTCAACTCGATCACATTAAACTTCGCAACAAGAGGTATGAAACACAAAATATCTGGGATCCTTCAAGATGTAATTTTATTGACAAATGCCTTTGCCTCTTATTTACATGACTTGCGTTAAGCCGCAAGAAAACAAGTTTTGCGAATAGCTGCAAAAATATTTGCTTCTGGGTATGTCAGTCGTTAACGTCACGTGATGTTATGACGATCTCGTGAGATTTATGACGTCGCTATGACGACAACTTCACTATTGGTACCGCCATTTTGTCGTTATCAAGTTTTGCTGTCATATTGCTGAATTTCTCATCTGTTTGCCTCACAGTTCGCCCGACGCCAGTTGTAATCACCATGAGTTCATACAGCCAAGGTATTTCGTTATTTCTACAATAGTTATGGTTGCGCTTGTGTGTTCCTTTATGACTTATTTACCTTATTCAGCCTAAAGTAGCAAAATGAAGACACTTCCAGAACTAATACGCCGGCTAAGCTGATCATTTGTCGTTTTTCACATTAATTGAGCGTTAAGTGGTTCATGCTAGTCGAATCAGGGTGTAAGACTGATTGTGTGTCTGGATATGAATGTCAAAAATATATATAGGATTCACTGAAAATAACTTCACAGCGGCAGGTCAACAACACAAGAAGCGATTCGTTTGTCAGCCGAAGATGTGGAGGACATTGCCCTTACTACACAGTTACTTTACTGCACCCTTTTTAAAATCTGGAAATATTCTGAATCACACCGGACAAAGTTAGGGTTCCACCCCGATTCCACGTCACAATTATGTAACGTGTAAGCTGTTTATGGACATTGCTGGAGTTCCAGTTGTGCTAAACAAGCTGATTAAATCTACCCCTTTTCCACATTCTGTTTCCTACAGTTGTTGTGGAAAATTGTTTTTTTGAGTATCCAGAGCATGATTGAAATTAGAGAATCCTTTACAATACACTGCAGTAAAATTAACTTACATGGTTCAAAGTGCGAGGTATAGATAAGCTGCGAATCTGCGTAAATTACGCAAATATTTATGTGAAAACTCAATTCCTGTTAATTCTATTGCGTACAAGTACGCTTGTAGTTATGTAAATACTCAATAAATGTGATCTTACATGCGTACACACAAAAATGTTAAATCGTAGCTTGGTACCAGTGGATAGATAAAATAACTGAAGTATATTGAGAGGTTCCCTTTCAGGACATGAACTTGACAACTTGCAGTCTTTCTTATCGTTTCCCATATTACAGATCAAATGTAAATTAAAACACTAAATTTAAATTTTATTATATTTTTTAAAATTAATGGAAAATGTCAAAATACCCAGTTGAGTTTGAGTGAGATGAGTACAATTTATTTGGTTACTCAAAGGAAAATTAGGAAACCAAATTGTGATGAAAACAAGGAAGTACATAACTCAATGACCCAAAAAGTTATCTGTAGCTCTGTCAAAGTTGTAACTGGCTTGTTCAACAGGAGTCTAATGCCAATTCTCTTTCCTTCAGTAACAATCATAAATTGTTTTCAAAATATGCAATTTAGGCACTTAATTGGTGATCATATAGGTTCCATTCTATTTTGAATTTATAAGCTGACTGAAAAAGATGTGAAACTGTTTAGTGTTAAGTATTAACAAATGCTTGTTTATCTAGTGTCAAGCTTTAATGATACTATAACGTTTCTTTGAAACTCCATTCATTAATGTGACATTAACTTTAGTTTCAGCAAACGTATCTTTTCACCATCCTTTCATAAATCAAGGAAGGTTTTGGGTACCATAAACCTATCATTCACCCAGACATGCCTGGTTATATTCCCGAAAACGTTGATAAATAACATGGGTCAGATTTATACAACCTTTTGTGTGTGGATTGAAGTAAAATGCATCGCTCAATGAATACCAGCAGTGATGCATTTGGCAGTGATAACCAAACATTTGATTCCTGAAAACTGTTTCAATTAATATTGCCAAATACTTATAAGGGGAATAACTTAAATTAATGACATATGAAGGAAAATGCTACTATTAAAATGATACCCATTTTACTGAATGTTGTTGTTTACTCATGAAGCCATTTGTTGGTGACGTTTTGATTCAGCAGGATCCAGTTGATCCTGTTGTATGGTTATGTAACTCTCATTCCATCTTTCCACAGCTCTTGACCTCGTCATCAGGTTCCCTTTGAACTTTGACATCTGGGCCCCTCCTCGCCAAGTGGGTGTCTTTAGGGAATCAGTTATTTTATAGAATTATTGTAATCCTGAAATTGTGTGTCTTGTATTTTGTGTATCAACTTTATATGTTACTAACATAACTCTCACCAATAATTTAAACACTGATATACATGTACAGTAATAACAATATATGTTAAAGACTGACATACTTCAGATCTCCTCTTGTTCCACTTCCACCTTCTGTCACTCTGTACATGTCCTTCTCTCCCTCCCTCTCAGCGTCCTACTGGGAGATACATGACCATCCTTGAGCCCCTGTCTGAGCTGCCCGTCCCTCCCACCTCCCTCCCTGCCCCTCTCTCTACCCCTGTCCTCCGTGATGCCCCTCACTTCGTCGATATCAACCTCGATGATGACGACACCCCGACCCAGTCCCCAGTTCGAGTCTTCCTGTCACGTGTGTCTGGATTCTTGAGGAGAGTGTTCCGTGTCAAGATGGACGCTTAGAGTGACATCTTGCTAACTCTTTGATTCTTGAGGAGAGTGTTCCCTGTCAAGATGGACGCTTAGAGTGACATCTTGCTAACTTTTAGATTCTTGAGGAGAGTGTTTGTTCCCTGTCAAGATGGACGCTTAGAGTGACATCTTGCTAACTCTTTGATTCTTGAAGAGAGTGTTCCCTGTCAAGATGGACGCTTAGAGTGACATCTTGCTAACTTTTAGATTCTTGAGGAGAGTGTTTGTTCCCTGTCAAGATGGACGCTTAGAGTGACATCTTGCTAACTCTTTGATTCTTGAGGAGAGTGTTTGTTCCCTGTCAAGATGGACGCTTAGAGTGACATCTTGCTAACTTTTAGATTCTTGAGGAGAGTGTTTGTTCCGTGTCAAGATGGACGCTTAGAGTGACATCTTGCTAACTCTTTGATTCTTGAGGAGAGTGTTTGTTCCCTGTCAAGATGGACGCTTAGAGTGACATCTTGCTAACTTTTAGATTCTTGAGGAGAGTGTTCCGTGTCAAGATGGACGCTTAGAGTGACATCTGATAACCTCTTATACATTGTGTCATATAATTATTCATTATACTCAGTGACTGTATCATAGATACAAAATGTTTGGTGACTTTTATTTTGCAATTTGGGACCTTTCGGACGTTTCATACTTTTCGGACCTTTTGGACTATGGTTTTGGATATTTCAGAAACAAGTGTTACACGTTTAAACACGTGTATTTTATTCTCACACATTTTGGCTTTTTTTGACAAGATTTAACCTTAGTTTTAACTTCTACTGATATTAATTATTAAATTAATCTTGATTTTCTAGCCATTTGTTGTTTCTTTCAATTTGCAGCACACATCTTCAGTTTATTTTCAGACATCTTGAGCATGTGCAGAAAAACAAATTATGTTTATCATCGTCTACAGTTCATTTACACTAGCCCCAAACAGCGATATGTGGATTCTAACTCTTTTGACAATGATAGGGAACAAAGCCTACTCGCATGCAGTACTCAGAGAGTCTTTATCTTTAACACAGACTTAAAATTGTTGTCACGAATACTACATTTGTGTTTATAGAGCCAGGAGCCAGTACTCAGTTTCCCTACTCCATATCAGTTAATTCAGTTTTGAAGTTATGTGACCCCAATTCAATTTCAGATTACTTCTAAGTAAGTACTGGTGAACATGATTTTGTTGAATGCGTATAGAAAGCACAAGCATTATTTGTAGACCATCCCAAGAAAACCTCCAATTCATGGCATATGACATAATTAAAATTAGAGATCCCTTTACAATGAGTGAGTCTAACGCCCTTTGAACACTGTAACAGCTTATCCCACTGTGTCCAAATGGGGAACGTCCTGAACGATGTAAGTTGTCGACTTCACCATTTCGGTGGAGCCAGCGAGCACAGTATGGTCCATGTACCTAGAACACAAATTATACAACTATACAACCATTAGACGTGTGTATTCTCTCCATGGTATTAGCACCAAATCACTTCCCTTGAATATGCATATGTTAGGGTTATGGTCCATGCAACTAGAACACAAACCTTTGCACTACCTGTAATGTTCTACAGCCACATTCCAGTTGTCTCACAGCTGCCAGTAGATAATCGACTCTGAACCAGAGACACCAACGTTTGACAACATCAGCAGGGACCCATGACCTCAAAGCAAGCTTCCAAGTTTCTTTTAGTTTCCAAGTGGGTTTTGTCCCTTTCATTTGCGTGACTTGAGACCAGTTTTATCAAGCCTCCAAACATCATATACGCCATCTCAAATTACTTTCAATTACGATAGTCACACTCATGCAGCACATAACTGATGTATCCATTCTATCTACATCACCATAGTCCTGTCTTGTAGGGTTCAGTTAATAAAGTCACAGTGGCATGGGTCCATTTGTAATGTTTACGTCTTGAGTCACAGAGATTTTATAAACACATACTTATGACATAGGCATAGTCATTTGCTTTTGATGTTTTCCACTTCAATCCACAGGTAGAAGACAGGCAGCTATCCTCTGGCTACAGATCACCGAGTCGTCAAAAAGAATCTCTCCAGCAAATGTGTATGGGGCCTGTTATAAACATGTAACAGTGAAATATTGTAATAAAATTATTATGTGAAAGCTTAACTTGTATGTGTTTCTGTACAGCTCAGTTCCAAACACATGGACTTATAACGCAAAAAGCTGCATCAAGGTGTCTACTGTCAGGGGCTTGTAACGCAAAGAAACAATATATACCTTGATGCTAGTTTTTTTGCTTTATAAACCCTATGGTTCAAATTACTTTGGTGTTATATTTTTACTTGTATGAGTGAGTGAGTGAGTGAGTGGATTGGATCTAAGCCACTTTCGACCCGCTTTAGTGCGTTCGTAACTTGACATTGTGTGGGAGTAATGCAATTTATGACACTGGCGTTTAAGGCTGACAAAGCGAAACTCACTCAAGGCGATGAGTGATTGGTGGAAAGTGAAGGTGAAGTTGTTTGGTTTTATTTCACCAACAGTAATAAGCTTCATCCTAATTTGAAGCGCTCACACTGGAAACCTCTAAATATCTAAATAACAAAGGACATCATTTCACCTGATTTATATACAAGGTTTCGAGAAACATAATAATGAGATATGCTCCTAAACAGTAAAGGACATCAGTTCGGCTGGTGGCTGATGTGTAGACAATATTATCAATAATGCTGAACAGCTTTTGACTGATGCTCCAGTGATCCTATAGCTTCATTTGCTTGCATTGGAAAGGCAAACGATAAAAACATGTTTTAATGTACATGTTCATGTTCTCCCTGACGTTGTACACAGTTTTCACAACGCTACCTACCCCAGTACATCACGTACATGCAAGCACCGAGAATAAAATACAAATAGAAAGAGGCAACGATGTGGTTGGTTGGTTGTTGTTAAACGCCGCACTCAGCAACATTCCAGCTATATCTCGACAGTCTGTAAATAATCGTGTCTGGACCGGACAATCCAGTGATCAACAGCATGAGCATTGATCTACGCATTGGGATACGATGACATGTGTCAACCAAGTCAGCGAGCCTGACCACCCGATCCCGTTAGTCGCCTCTGACGACAAGCATGGGTTACTGAAGACCAATTCTAACCCGGTTCTTCATGAATGTATGTATAAGTGAGTGATTTGGATGTAAACCGCTTTCGACCGGCTTGAGTGTTAGCGTTAGTAATCATTGTGTGAAAGTGATAAACTGATGCAGTAATTGACACGGGTATGGTACTGATACCCCGGGATAACTCAAGCCAAATCTGGGATTTCGACACCAGGAAGGTTCACTGACACATCAGAACGTGTTGTATCCTTGGTTGGTGTCTTGAACACCAGTGGAAGGAAGGTGCTCAACAATCGTTTCGATCCCTTCATCATGCTTTATACCCTGACCAGTTCAGAAATTGGCAGATAAATGAGACAGAAGGGTCATGTGATGGCTCTCGAAACGAAACTCTAGTGGCTAATATGGCCAGTATACAGTCATAGAAATAAATTTCACCTGCTCTCACAAGATTGAATATAGAGGCGTTCCTGAACTAGAAAACGCACATGCGCACAAATTCTAACCCAATATATATTTCTACTGAACATACAGTTTTCGCAGAAATCATTGACAAAATCTTTGTTTCCTAATACTAATTAATAGATTTTTGAAATAGGTGTTACATTATTGTAGTAAGGTACTCACTATGGGAGGCAACGCTTGTAGGCTTAAAATGAACCTTACTACATCAAGAGTTATCTCCCCTGATGTAACAGACGGTTTCCTTTGACATGGCAGATTTGACAGCAGAAGAGATAAGAAAGCTGGTTCAAGATGATTTTGAAAGGTGTGTGACTAATGCAAAAGAGTTACCTGGTAGACATAACATCCCTCTGTCTACAATACACAGAACTTTGAAGAATATTCAGTCAGGATTTGGGAGTGATCACAAGACAGGGAAGTCCAGGGAAGTTCAGTATACTATATGGATTGCCGGCGACTTGGTCAGATTGTGAGTAGGAGAACACTGAAAAGCGTTGAGAATATCAGAAATGAGATGATTAATAGGGGAAGTCCTCGGGTATGTAATGAAACCCTTGGACAAGAATTACAAAGACTTAACTGGGTGAAAAAAAACGCGGAATTCACTCACCAATCATGAAAGATACACAATAAGAAAGACTTGACATCTTAAATGATCACCTTCTTCCAACTGTATGAAGATAGTTGGAATTTCCAGCATGATAACGACCCAAAACACACTGCGGGCTACACAAAAACAGTGGTTGTCGGACGAAAATGTTCAAGTTTTAGACTGGTCCAGCTACAGCCCAGATCTTAACCCTCTTAAGAATGTGTGGGGACTAATAAAGGACAGAATAAACCAAAAAGGACTTAGAAATACAGAGGATATAAAGAAAGAAATGGTCGAATATTGGGATACGCTGTCACACGATTTCCAACAAACTTTGTTCGATAGTGTACCTCGGCTGGAGGCTCGAGGCAGACACAATATGGCGATCAATTGACCAACAACCAAAGTGGGAAAAGAGGGAAATAACATAGAATGAAAATACGAGAAAATAGACAGAGTAATCGTTTTGGGGTGGCTCGGTGATGGTGTGGGTGGGATCACTGTGACTGTCACAACACCATGACATGTTAATACACGGACGTGTCACTGCGCAGTATCACCGTGACCAAATGCGGGGAAAGTCGCGTGGTGCCATTTGCGCGCTGACGTCGTTTGTGTTTCATGATGACAAACTCACAGGTCTCGCATTTTGCTGAGTACCTCCAACAAGTTAACAAGGCCACCTCAAAAAGATGGTTAGCACAAGGTCCAGACTTCTCAAATCGTTGGGCCAAGCACGTGGTTTTAGTGAGTGAGTTTTGTTTTTCGCCGCTTTAAGATCAGCGCCTGTATAATAATTCGTTCAGTACATTTGTTACGTCAGGCACCTGAAGGGCCTATAGAATCTAATAAGTTAGTC